TTGTAGGCCGACCATAAATATCAGTTGTGCGCCGGCATGGGCTCGAACCCCGGACCATATGCATGGTCGGCGAGAGTCCTAACCACTGTGCCACCGACGCACACAATATCAATTGGTGTTTTGGAATTCCCTGTGTTTACTCGTTGTTTTTGTGACTTGTTGTATTGCGAGATTTTGTTTGATCACAGGGGTAATTGATAGTGAATAGATAAGAGGATGTGCGAAGAGTGTCATGAGGTGCTGCTATGGTCACGTTGCGTTCTGCAAGAGTCATTCCAGTAAGTGGCGATTGTGTTGCAAGATGTCAAGAGGATACCTCTAATTCGAAGGTGTAGGTCGTCATTGTTGCGTGGGATTGTGCTGTGGGTATGCTTGTGGTGTGTTGGCTTTTCTGTTTGTTTTCCATTTCAGCTCTGTCCGTGTGACCCAGGTTCTCGCAATGGCATCTAAGTCAACGTGTTTTGGTCGTGATGGAAAAAAGGATGGATCCCCTTTTTGCCGGGGAGTGTCAATGTAGTTGAAGATTGAACGGTCAATTCGTGGTTTTTTGCTCAAAACCAACTTCCCCAATTTTCGCGGAGGCATCAATACACCAGTCATCGTCTCATCGATCGCTGTTCAGAAAACAAGTACAAAACCGTCAGAAGTAATATTGTGATTGATTATTGTAATATTTGTTCATAGACCTTAGTTGTAAAGCTTAGTTATATATTGGCTATATGTTGGTGTTAGAATAAAGAATTCTCGAGTCGCCAATCTGTGTTCTGGTTTTTGCGTCCGTTAGTACTATGATGATGTTTCCTTCGTGTGTTTTCTGTTCCCAGTTTGGCGTTTATATCTTCCATTAGTTTTTTAATGTCACCAGCTGTAGTATTGTCCATTGTCGCCTGTAGTTGTCTGTAGAATTCTTCTTTCTTTCCGAGGTCTGCGTTGTTTGTGGGTGCATAACATTGTATGATTGACACTTTCCTTCCTTTGGAGTTGAATCTGGTGGTCATTATCCTGGACGAAATCGCCTCCCATTTCATCAGGGCTTTCGTTTCCGTTGGTGACATCATGATAACCACGCCCTCGGCGTTCGTGTGGTTGTCTTCTGGGTGACCGGAGTAGATCACTGACTCACCCGTTGACAATTTGGTGAGTCCACTCCCATTCCATCTGCTTTCACAAATTCCCACCACTTGGATTCCGTATCTTTTCATCTCGTTTGCGATCTGGGCAGCTTTCCCTGTCTCGTACATATTTCGGACGTTCCATGTCTCCACCGAGACGTTTTCTTTTGGTGCAAAGAGGTTCATTGTACTGAAGTTTCTGTAGCAATTTTGTTTACAGGGTGGGGTTGCTAGCCTCACGCCTGAGAAAGGAATGATTACATTAAGTTAAAGTTTAGAGAGAAGCGACCTTTTGGGTTCGCTCCCCTCAAAATCGGAAAATAACGGACAAAACAATCAGAACAACACCAGCAAAAGGAAAACAGTTCACAGGAAGAAGGGCAACAAGCGACAACGACAATTTTAAAGCAACAGTTAAGCACAGTTAACCAAAATGATACCAAAATCATAGACTCACTGACTTGAGCCCACTTGAACATGTAAATTCAACGATATATACAGTTATAGATATTAGATAGTGGTAAACAATCACAATATACCAAACGGATGGTTATAGGTATTATCTGTCAACAAGATTAAATCCACAGATTCAGTGTTTGAAGGGCAAATAATTACATTGCATTCCACAATTTTTTGGCAAGAAACTCCACAGAAATAAGAGTTTTATATAACGACGTTAATGTAGCGTAGTAATCCAAAGGTGCGTAGAGGTGTGTACTTAGATGCCTTTATCTCTTTGATAGGTTTGATCGCTTCCAATGCACCACTTTGAAGGACTTCCTAAGTGAAGCTGCATGTCCCGGTTCACTGGATGTTCTGTGATGAAAATGAATACTTCTGTTCTCCCTTTGTTAATGCTGTTGGAATATGTTCTCGAGAACGTCTCACAAGCGGTGGCAAGTTATGATGAATGTACTCAGCTCCACAAGAACAAATGAACTGATGTGTGCATGTTGGCGTGGCCTGATGTAAAAGCTTGCCTTTCGCATGTCGGATGAATTGCTTCTTGCAAGACATCAGTGGAAGGATTGGGTTGAAGTATATTTCACTGTGAGATTTCGGAATCCGTTAACAAAGAGTTTTCACGTCTCCGCAACTTTTATATTTGAGTTAAGACATCAGCATCCTTTCGATAACGAATTGGATCTGTTCTGAACTATCTTTCTTTTTCCATCCGTCTATCAATATGAGCGTGAAACCATTCTCTTCAAACATCCCTCACGGATTTTGCACTTTCACGACGATAGATTACTATGCACATATTTTCGGGATCTTTCAGAAAGGAGAGTGTATGTTTCATTGATATAAGTATTAAACTTGGGCACTGTGGTAGGGTGTAACTCCATTATGGATGCGGATATGATTATGAGCAATAATTTGTGCTCAAAACGTCATAAGTCAATATTGTGGTGATAGCTATCTGCAAGCCAAAGCTGTACAAAACAATTTATGTCGGTGTTCACGCCTTTCATCAGGATCATGAGAAAACACTAACAAAGCTTAACTTTGAGGAAATCACCAGCCACTCAGAGCGGAGTTAAAGTGTGGAAATATGGTCCACAGATATATGGTTTGATTTTCTGAGAAACAGCTACAAAGAGATAACAGACTAAGCCTCAGCAAGAAAACAACCAATCAGAACAGGATACTTCTCCGCTTACAATAACGCTAACAATAATGCACATGTGCGCTGGTGGCAGAGTGGTTAGGACTCTTGCCGACCATGCACATGGTTCGGGGTTCGAGCCCACGCCGACGCGCAACTGATATCTATGGTTGGCCTGCGAAATTTGGGCTACCGATATCCACGCTGAAAATTCCATACTTGTACCAAAAATACAGTGTGGAATCAAGCTGTAATAAAAAAATCTATAAATACCTCTTGATTTTCTCAATAAACGATCTGTTGCCTGGCCGTTGTCTTCTGTTGTTACGCTTCTACCACTGTGAAACTACGTCATCAGCACTTTGTCATCCCCTCGAATATATGTCGTCAATAATGTATATAACTTTACAATTTTTATGGTCTCTTATGATAAGGAAATGTGTTAGTTGGAACGCCTTTCGCATAAACAAGTGAGAATACAATCAAATTAACCAAGCTAGAGAATCTTATATATGCAAGCATACAGTGCTTAACAGCGTGAGAACCCTGTTGGATAGTTACCTTGTGAACATGGCTGGGGTGAGTAAAGTTGGTGTGTATTTTAGAAATGACATGGGTGACGTGGGTAGAAGTGAGTAATCAATGCTCTTAGGTAGCGGAGATAAAGTGAGTAGTCACATGGTAGAAATGTTTGTGCAAATTAATCTGTCTTAATCGAAAAACCTTTATGATTAAGGTGAAAGCTGTGGTGTTGTAACTCAAACTGCTGCACTTCTGTGTGCAGTTTCATAATAATACCAGCCAGTTATATTAGCTCGCGGAAGACACCAGAGGACGCAGAATCTCTGATCAAAACTACTCCTACGACAAAACCGAAGTACTGTAGAACATAAAGGACATAAAGCACCAGAATGGGTTGAACACACTAGGAAAACAATCCGGAAACCTAGGAATACATGCTCACGCCATTACCACAATTTTCGGGTAGGGTAGCATACCTGATTACTGGATGAAAGCTTACCTCCACAAAATCTCGAAGATTGTCTACTAAGACCTTCCAGAGAACTGGTATTGAATCATGCTTTTATGTACCTCAAGAAAAATATTAACCGCTTCATTCTGGAAAAATAAAAGGTTCTAGGGATGCGAAACCTCCACTAGAACATATAGGATTCAGGAAGAATAATTCAAGCGTCTGCCAAGCCTGAGTAATATATGTCAGATCGAGCAGATCTTAGAATGGCGATTAAATCTGTAACCCAGCTTGACAAAGTGTGAGAAGGTCTTTGATAGTTTCGATTGTGAATTATTTTCGCAAATGCTTTGACTTAACAGACCTAAGTGTCTCAGACCTTCATAAACCTCTTTCAACGACCATATGACGTCGCTACCTGCCAAGTAGTCCTTAGTAAAACCTTCAAAATGAAGATAATATCCATAATTTTGGCGAATCAGATCAGGAAGTGAGGAGACGGTTATGCAATGGACTCATGAAAGGACAGGACACGTGTTATTATAACCACAAATACTCCCACAGAATATCACAGGCGTACGGACAGAGATGACTGGCAGAATGATATGGACCAAAATATATGAAGGTTTCAAATAAATTTTACATAAGCCGAACATAGTGATTATCCCATTGTTAGTTATAACGAAGAAGAACGTCACACTTTCAGCTATATGTTTCGACCACTATACAACAACCACTCTAGGTTTACGGACAACATGATTGGCACTAAACTACGTATTACGCAGGGAGCTACACCAACAGACGAATTTTACTTTCATTATCAAACAAACGATCCTCAAGTTACAGTAATCAGTTTAAATATAAATGCGGAAGAAATGCATACACTTGCGAATCATTTTTAGGGTATTTGAAGCCAAACGAATCGAAAGTTCAAGAATAAAGTGATTTCTATACATTACTCAGCATTGGATATTGCATCTGTGATAAAGTGATAGAGCCATAAACGCTTTCTCAAGGTCACTTGTCATTTCTCTCCGTGTTCTGCACGAGTTCAACTAGTCACACCATGGTGGCTTTGCCGGATGAGATACCAAGGCCTGGTATGAGTTAATATGACGGGTAATAGAACTTTTTTAGTTTTAGCCGATGATATTGATCGTCTAGCACTGAGAATCAGCCTGGCTGACATAGATGAACAGTTCGAAAAAATTCTTCAGAAAGCCTTAGTTTTTATTCTGAAATATTTGTCCAAATATGAAGACCACCGAAAAAAGGTACTGGATAATTTTTGACCCATATTTTTCAGCTTATGGAACTCCTCGGTGATGTGACTAGAAGACTTAAATGTAGACCTAATATCCAAGTTCCAGTTCATGAATTATTCCTGAGCTATAATGATCCGTTTAATTCCGTGTTTTTGGTTAATTTTTCACACATGTACTTAAGACTTGGCTTCCCACGACTTCCTTTCGCACAAAAGATTAAGTTGCTCCCTGTACTATTCGCCTCACTTTCTGAGGATAAGCCAATGTGTCAACGCGACGGGTATGGCATGTTATATAATTTCCATATTATATAGTTTACTCCACCTAACACTGCCGGTTATTGAAAATCTCACCGATGAATTGGCCCCGCGAGACCTCTGTTTTAGTGAACTTCCTTTCCAAAGGCGTTACATATCAGATTTCTATTCTTTAGTGATGCTTTTGCCCTACAAGTTTGTTTGCATATTTCCTTTATTGTGCGTTAAGTTTCCAAAGGTTGATTAGATCAGACAGAAGTGATACAACTTTACCGGATGGTTACAATTCATATGACTTGGGAAGAGTGTTGCACGAACGGTATTCTTGCATAACATCTGCTGAGGATCTTGAAAAAGTAAGTCTTTTATCAGTTGAGCTTGGAATCTCTGCCGCCAAACTGAATGTTTCAGGTATTTCTAATACAATTGGCTTAAACATGATTGCTTTGTGGCGATATGTCACTTCTTAAGATTTAATAAATACACATGCATCAGTGGGGTTTGTGTATTACTTCCCTCTGCCTGTGCTCACTATCTGTTTTCGACATAGAACTTTGCATCGATGTGCAGCACTTCAAGTCGACACACTTCACTCAACACACAAAGCAAGAGAAAAAAAGTAGAAATGTATAATAGAAACAGTAGACAGGGATATGAGACAAAAGGAATAGTTATAACGAAGAACAATATAGTTTCATTGTAAATTATAAGTCACAAGGTGTAGATGCATCTGCGCTATGCATTGAGAGCGATTTTGAGCTATATCACGATTGTTTCCAGTTATTGGTTTCTACCGTCCCGAGGATCCCAACCAGGAAGTCTACACCTTTATACGTAACTGGCTTAAACTAACTGTTGTGGATTTGATTGACTGGTGCCATGTTTTGGTTTGAGCGTTGCCAGCTCTTTTCTAGCCTGACGCTATGTCAGCTAGCTAACATCGCCCATTATCGAGGAAGGTGATGGATGACTAAGCATGCGTAACACACGTCATAACCATCTTAGTCGATGTAATTTCACAGCCTTGTCGATTGATTTCTCCTCCTTACCTAGTAACCAACTCCTAACCTTAATATTGCTCACCGTATATACCACGCAACACGGGAGACAGAACACAGATACCTGTGATCAAAGACAGCTAGCTAGGCTTTTCATGTCATCTACTCTCAATGGTCATGTCTCGCTCACAGCCATAAAGGAGGACAGAGTGTACTGCTGAGCAGTACACTCGCCCTTTGGTCGATAGCCAATCAGATATCACGTCTGCGCCAGAAACGGCGTAAACTGGCATATGCGAAACTAGCCCTCTGTATGCGTGCTGAGATTCCGTCAGAGATCAACCCGTTGGGTCAAGTAGCTGACTCAATCTTAAGTAAAGCTAGCATAAATCCCTAAAATTAGAAGGTTGGGTTTATAGCATGTGCGGAAAATACTACCTGTTGAAAGGTTGCAGATGTCTGAAATAATTAACTTGTTTTCGTACAAAGTGTTTTGAAGATAGTCAGGTAAGCTTTTTGAATAAAGTAGCTTTCATTTCGCTAAAGATTGTTTGTTGTGCGCTGTCAGTTTTACCAATGTTTTCAGTGTACTACCCACGATGAATCATTGCTGATTCGTATTTTTCACTAGCGTTTAGTCCTGTGATTTTACCGACTAGGGTGAGAGTGAGTGAGCATTTTAATTTAGGGCTGATTCTTAAGTATACAGTGATCAATGCCAAGGTCCTTATCAACTCACACTGTTCAAATTTGTTCAATTACGGTCTTGATTTCCACCTCATGACGCAAAAAAGACATATATGCTGTGGTATTTGACTCTAAAATGTATTGTTACTGGAAAATCCTCCATCGGCTCTTCTATAAATCGTCCGCTTGAATTATTTCGACTCACTTTAGTTAATATACTTGTTTTCCTAAATTTTTTAGTTCAAATTAGCCATCTTGACCTTTTACACTCGCCACTTTTTTCCTGCCGAAGAAAGCATAATACCAATTCTTTTCGGATATGGTGACAGTCGACATTCAGTGGTCTCCGTTGCTTCAAAAGAACTACGAACGTTAAGTGTGTGAGTAATCAATTTTCTATTATATTCAGATTCCTATGGTGATTTCTCGCCCGTGGATATGTTGCTTATATGATTAAGCACCCGACTTTAAGTGAGTGGGTTCCATACTAAATGTACGCACCACTTGCCCCAGTCTGGGTAACTTATATTTTTATGCCTTTCTTTTGCTTACCGTTTCGTTTTTCTAATGTCACTTTACTCCTGTTCATTTCCCCTTTTTGGTGGGGTAGGGGGTATATATATGGTTAGGTTCTGCGTGAATATCAAAATTATAATTGAAAACTCCAAATGATGTCTTAGTTGTTTTCAATAGTGTAGATATATTTATGCCTTATCTTCAACCTAATTTTAATATTTGTTTCTTTGTTTGTTCTGCATTTCTATTCTTCATTTCTTTCACTCCCTTCAAATAAGGAAATATGCCCACATATACATTAATACGAAAGTGCTAACATTTGTCCAGCGAAAGAATATTCTTTTTTTATGATTTTATTTTCAAACTGCACAGTCATATTTACACTAAGTGAGAAAATATTATGCAGGGCCAGATATACATGTGATAATAATTGACATCGTATTATAGATGTAATGGATAAATTACAGAATTACAAAAATTATTAAAGGAGTGAATTGGTATCAAACAGTTTAAAGTGGGTCAAATAATGTCTAAAATTAAATAATAGCAATAATGGAATTTAAGTTAAAGTGAAATGGAATGAAATTTATTCAAACAACATTAACATCACAAAGGTAAGGACTAAATAAATAGTTTAAGTTCTCCTTCGTGCATAGCCAGTGTCTTAGCCATACATAGGTAACGAAGACGTTAATTTTCAGACTGGCTGAATATGGCTGTGTAGATGACTTTAAAAGACAAATCAAGTGGGTCTGGGTTAATTGCCTCATGGTGTTCACAGATAAAAGACTTCGTCGTCCTGTGTTCGCCTTTAGTCAACATAACCGTTGGGTGTTCTGCCACGTGTTTCCAGAGAACTCATCCGGCAGTGTCGCGTGCAAGTCAGCGACATATGCGTGTTCGACACACTTGAATGGTCATTTTTTGAGTACTTCAGCAGGACTGTCACCTGTGAGTGCCAAAGTTAAAGTTAATTCCTGACATTACTTTACTCACTTTAAACTTTTTAATACCAATCCACTTCTCTAAAAACATTTGCAATTCTGTAACTCATCCACTTCACTTCTACCCCTTTAAGTATGATTATTTTTATTATATCATAAGTTTGTTATCCGTTTGTGTCTGTAATTTGGGCGCGTTATCTAGCTCTTTGTCATTACTGAGGTTTCAAAAGATTCACTGATAGCGGAAGATATGATCCTGTTGCTTATTCATTATGTTTATAGTATCTCTATCAGCTAAGTTCGAAGTTTTATCACCAAACACCTTTAGATCTCGTTCGCTCTTATTCAGCATAATTTCCAATATTGCCCAATTTCATATTTTTCACTATTTGTTATTTTAAACATTTCTTCAAGCCTCGTGGATTGGGAAGATGAGTCACTTCTCAACCGACTTTTAGCATGGTATCTTGGACGTCGCCGAGAATTTGATCCAAAAGTAAGCCTGGACTTTTTTATGAAGCAGTGAATTAGCAAATGTACTATTCATTCAGGCAACTGTATATGTATGCATTTTTATTACTTTTACCTGGCGTTTATATTGTTAATAAAATAACTAATATGTTAAAATGACCCATTGACTTTCACCTGAATTCGCTTGCGATTTCATTTAACAGGAGTTATACGTAGTTATTGGTTTGTTGTGATGTTCTTATGTTAGGGTTTACTACTTCTGATATTTTATTTGTCTATTACTCTGAGGGTAGTTAAACATTGTTTTGTGTACATTAGTTGCTACGTATTCTATATGAATTTCCGTGTCGCTGTGTATTCTTAGCGAGTTATTCACCGAAAAGATCAAAAGATGGAGTTGCGACTCACTGCCTGCCTGTCTTTCTGTCTGGATTCAACATAGAACTTGGCACCGAAGTACGGCAGTTCGAGTTGCCACGTCCCAAATAGCACACAAAGGTAGACAAGAAGATGAGTGAAGAGAATCAATAGAGTTTGACAGGTATAAGAGCGAAACAGAATGGGTAATGGTAGAAAGAAATATGAAAGATTACGGAGACTGAATACATCTGCGCTGTCATTGACAACGATTTTGAGCCATGTCACCTATTGTCTCCAGCCATTGATTCCTAGAGCAAGTCCCGAGGTCCCCAACCCGGAAGTCTGCATCTCCCTACCTGACTCAGTTTGACTGTCAAGGATTTCATGGATTGATGCCATATTTTTGTTTGGCCACCACTTACTCTTTTCCAACGTGCACCTATATCAGCTAGTAATGCTCGTCGGAGGAGGCGATGGTTAGGCATGCGCAGCACGTAACCTAGCCATCTCAATCTATGTAACTTTATAGCCTCGTCGATTGATTTTTCCTCTTTTCCCTCACTGCCTGAGGCTTTTCACATTCATTCAGTGAGTCTTGGGTTTGAATCTCGCACTAGCTACTGCAGCGAATGGTTAGTATCATAAATTTTTGACACTGGCTGATAAAGAAACTTTTCCAGATTCAGTGATGAAAAGAGACGTACTCCATTTTTTCGCAAGCACTTGCTGTGTTCGCAGATACGTAATGATTCAAGTTTATCAAAATTTAAAGTATTTTACAACGTTCTCTATTTCTTTTTTTCCTATCGAAGGGACGTAATGAACCTCGTCGTCCTCTTAGTCCCAACATGCGCATCAAGCTGGGTCATTATCTTTTGCGTTCAAAAATCACATTCCGGGACCCTTAGCTTCCAGTTTAGTTGAAGCTGCTATGCTTGCTTTGGACCCAAATTCTCTATCACAATCTACTACACTTCCGAACTCTGGACAGAAAGCGCCATCTAATTCTACTCAACCGCCACTGAGAATGGATCCGCTTCAGAAGCAGATTCTGGGGCTCAAGTTCAAACTTCCACTAGAGCTCAAACAGGGGAATCTGTACCCGCTAGTACACCGAATTCTTCCGGTTCTTCTTTATCAAGTTCAGTCATTCAACAGCGCCGCCTGGCTGAACATGGACTAGATCTACTGCTTCACCTCAGTAATAAGTAAGCTGAACTTTGATTTCTGTAAATAAGTTATTTAAATGCTTACTGGTACTTCCAGTTTCAATCAAATTCTTAAGATTTACAAATTCCGCCGTTTTCTGTCAGATGACTTCTTATCAGTGAGTGTTTTTCTTTGACAAAATCCACTCTTTTATTTATTGTGTATTTTGTTTCGAAGTTAACTGCGTACGGTTATGTGGTGATTAATTCTATACGTAGAGATCTGATTAAGAGGAGCGTAAATAATAAATTTAGTGAAAGCAAGTGAGAATTGAGAATGCAATTTTAGGTATGAAGTGATTCTTGAAGACCAGGCCTCTTAACAACCTAATTTAATACAGAGTTACGTTTTTAGTGTATTAAGCAATAAAAAGTTAACCAGATCATCCAAAGCTTATTTATTTTTAAACGCTTGTTTCCTCTAGTGATAATGACTTATCAATTTGAAACAATATAACTTCAGATTAGCAGTGTAATATTAATAATAATTTCTGTTTAATTGAATTAGTGTTACTACTCTAACTGGATCAGCAACAGTCGCGGCTCTTCGATGTCTTATTAACTTTGTATATGAACGTACAGTTGATGAAGTAAGTATACTTCCTTTCTTTTTTAACCTTAATGATTACCAAATCAATAAGTTTTAATAACTGCACTGTTATATTACTTTAGTTAAATTACGTACGGGTGAGAGGATTTGAAATACTTTCTCGTTTTCTGGTGCGGGATCCAAATTATTTGTTGAAAGATCTTTCCCAGCTGCCTCGCTTGTTTGATGTCCTTTCAGAGGTAAGCACTGATTGGTTTGAAAGTTTTGATAATCGAATACATGTTTGTTCATATGCGATGGCCTGTTTACTAATCTTTCCTTATTCTTTAATTGTAGGATAATTCTACTGAATTAAAACTTGCTGCTGCACATTGTTTGAGAAGGCTTGCAGTAGCTTTACACAGTGCACAGAAACAAAACTATGCAGCTATTCGACCGCAATTGGTTAAGTTGGAACGTCTTTTATATGAGAACATTGAAAAGGTATATTTTAGCATAGTTGTTTCCCCATTTTAAGAATATTTTGAATTGCATCATTTATATGGATCTTTTACTAGTTTCTGATAACCATGATCTTTTGCATAATTTACATTTTATGGAAATTTAGTTTTATAACTAATATTTAACACTTAGTTGTTTAATTGCGTAGCTCTCTCATTCACTGACTGACTGGTTTCAACGTAGAACTTCGCACCCATGTGCAGCAGTTCGAGTCGCCATACTTCACTCAGCACACAAAGCCAGAGAAGAAAGTAAAAAGAAATGCAAAATAGAGTTAGTTAAGAGAGATATGAGGCAAAAAGAACAGTAATATGGAAGAACAATGTAGTTTTATTGGGTATTGTAATCCTGTCTCAGTTACCTTTGGAAAACTTGCTAAGGACTTTCTAAGTATGGCTTTTTCACTGGTTGGTAACCGCATTTTTGATATGAAATATTTTTGAACTCTTACATCGGTTGGTAAACCTTATCTTGTGATTTATTTCTCCATAAATATCTTTGGATTTTATTTTAACTCGAATTAGTTTGATTTAAATATTCTAATTTTTCTAATTGTGATCGAATCGATCATCAAAATGTTTAAGAGTGAACAAGTGAATTTCAACACAAGACTGTAGTCTATATTTTTGGATAGTAAAATGGATACTTTGGACGCGTCTGGATCCCTTCCTTTAGCTTTTAGTTCACTTGCTTGATATTTCAAATACTGACTGTAAAAATCTGAATTTCATTTCAGTCGCCAAGGTTTTTGCCTAAATTCGACATCACAACAATAACTTCCCAACCGATTCATGTCAATCTGCATTCTGATCATACTGAGCTAGCAAGGGGGAGTCTTCCAATATAAGGCTTAATCAGGAGAACCAACACAGGAAATTTAGAAACACAAGTATACAGAAAGTCAACGCACACAGATCAAATACTCAACTATACTAGCAACAATCCAATTACTCACAAAAGAAACTGTGTGCAGACATTGTTTAGAAGAATTCAAACACATTGTAGCACACCAGAGTTGAAAAGAATGGAAGAAAAATACTTACAAACGGTGTCCAAAAAGAATGGTTATCCAAAAAATTTCATCAAAAAGTGTTTAAAATCGAATGAAAGCACCAACAAAGAACCATCACCAAAGACCAAAAAGCAATTCATCCTACCATATATCAGAAACATCTGAAATAACGACTAGAATAATGAAACCGTTTGATATAGATGTAGCACACAAACCAGCTGAATCGCTTAATTCCATCTGATGCAAACCAAAAGATCCTATAGAAAAGGGAGATAAAATTAACACCATTTACAAAATAAATTGTGTGAACTGTAACAAACATTACATCGGCCAAAGTGGGCGTCCCCTTCGAATAAGAATCCAGGAACACAAATCAGCCGTGAAAAGACATGATATAAATTCTTTAGTATCAATACATTCAGACGATCATGGACATCAATTTGATTGGGATAATGTCAAAATCTTAAACAGAGGAAACACCAAATGTGCCAGAGAATTCCTAGAAGCCTGGTACTCAAATGAAAATGCAATTAATAAACAGTTAATATAGATGAAATATACCAACTAATAAGAAGTAAATCAGGTGATCAGAAAGTTTAAAATCCCAATCAATCGAAAACGGTCAATAAATATCTAAAAATGGTTACCGGGAGACTCATGAAGAAATTTAAATCATTTCACTTTATCCTAAATACTTTCTTCTCTTGCTTCGCGTGCTACACGGAATGTGGCGACTTGAACTTCCGCACATTTGTGCAAAGTTCTATGTCGAAAACAGACAGACAGACAAATACTGCGCTGAAGATGTCGTCCAGAAAGACGATGAAAGCTCCGCAATTAAACCAAGGAGCTCAGAGAACACTATCAATTGCAAATATAAGGCTATTTCAATTAGTGTCAGCAGCATTGAATTTTAATAGTTTTTTTCCTGTAGTCTTTCTCGCATACATTTTTCGTGAAATTTTTTTTCTATTGACCGAGAACGAACGTAGAAATCGCTATTGGAACATGAGTATATCTCGTAAAAACAACCATATGTTTAAGTTGCATCAAAAGATATTCTCAAGTTGTTTGTGTCATTAAAGTGCTATTTTGTAACTAAGCAGTTAGCAGTAACGTTTTGCAGTGGTCTGTGCTGTATGCTTTTATTTTCTTAACTAGCGTAGACACATTTTTGTGAAAAATCAAATTTGGTTTGTGTAATGAAATAAACTATAGAAGTATCCGAGTCACTTTTGTTAAGTGCTTCGTAGGACATTTTGATGAGTTTTTGTTCTCGGCGTGTCTTAAAGTGAAATAACTACTCATTGCATAAGTTGGACTTCGGAAAATGTTAGTGGAATGAAACTCAACAACTACATACAAGGATGGTGAAATGGCCAAAGATCATTTGCAATGGCGCGAATGTTGTCTTCACTATTCACCTATATTTAGGACATCAGTATTGTTCATTAAGTAATCCCCTCTTAAGAATCCTTGACACTGGTGTCACTATACTTCTGTTTCCCTTTGTGCATTTTTCGAAGGATAGCAACTTCAACTGACGCCTGTCTGTTAAAAAATCAATCCTAAGACGTAGTTTAAGAAGATGATAAGATCAGAAGTTACACGATGATTTTTTAAAGTATTTATTTATTTTTATATTCGTTCACATATTAGTAAGCTGTGTAGAATGTAATTCTATGTTCGCATGCATAAAGCAGTTTATGCAGTGATAAACATTTGACACTTGTTGGCTGTTTGCGACGGTATCCTTTTGTCACCATATTATATTATTGCAGTGTGGACGAAAGTGATTATGAGCAATAAATTATGCTTGAAACGTAATCACTGGATATTACTGTATAACACTGTGAGATTTTATTGAAATAAATTTTATCCACAGTGGAATGGTACTCTACTACAGTGCACAAGTTTTTTTCTTATATCAAGAAAGTGAGGTAATTTTCGGCTTTGCATGAAGTATTTTCATTCTTCACATATTCAGCTTGCGTCACTAAAAGTGTAAAATAGCTAGTAGATATCAAAGGATGGATTTAAGAGGACTTCACGGACAACTGTGATAAACGTTTTGTGTGCCCGAATAATGGTGTAGCAAGTGATGTAGAAATTTTTAAGTAATAAGTGTATAAAAGTAGGCTTGTGGCCAGTGATTTATTTTCATTTCTTTCGCATAGTGTCGCCTTCCACTTTATGTTCTTATTGTTTTCTGTAATCAGCAGGAAATAATACACATCTCTTTCTTTCTTTTTTTTCTTAAAGTTGTTTGTAGGATCCGCAATTGCTTATAAAATCGATTAATTTAAGCTTTTCATTGCTTTTCTTCAGCCTGATCCACTAAGTCGCTTGGTAGCAGTCAACTTCGCGGGTTTGATATATCCATCTGATCATATTCCTACGAGATACCTCATACTCCAGGCACTCGGTGATAAGTAAGTGTGTGGCGGTAAAAAGTTCTCTTTTGAAATATTCCATAAATATGCTTATGGATATCATTTGTATCCGCTTTAATTATGAAGTCGTTTAACTTCCTGCTATTAGTGATAGTTATAGGAAAATAGACAAGAAATTTCAGACAAAAAGCAATCAGATAATAGTGATTTTCTTTAGCTGATGGAGTGTTTCTGATGAATATGGTAAAGAAAAGGGTTGAACGTACTTCTTTTGGATACACATCGTTGGCTTAAATCTTTGGTTTGCCTTAACTATGCTCAGACGTCTTGATCTTGCTCTCTTTGAGGAACGTTTTGGATCTCGTGTGTGAGACTTCAAAGGATTTCTCTAATGAATCTAAGTGTCTCCAATCCACAAAGTATTCTGTTAGTAGACTAAGTATACATTTCTGTAATCTCTTTTCTAGTCAGACTGGATAGTGTCCTCGAGTGTGTTTTAAAATGGGACGTATGGTATCGTCAACGTACTCCGTTCTATAGGCTTATGTATGCTGATGTTGGCTAATTTGACAGCTTGTCTTTCATGCGCTAGGGGAAACATTTCTGGAAAGAAAATGTTATTTGTAGGCAAGGAATAAAGTGTGTTTTACTAAAAGATTTTGAAAGCTGTTTTTGGGGAATTTTTGTCCTCGTATCACTTTTAAATTAGAGATTCAGTAGTAAGATCTTTTCGGGGCGCAGTATGGGTGCGTGCTCTTCTATGAATGAATATATGTAGAAATTCGTTCTCCGTCATGCTTCTTAGAAGATTGTATAGTTGTTCATCAAGATATTCCTCGCTGCATATCTCCCTCTCCTCGAGGATAGTGAATGGATGAGATTCTTCTTTTGAGTGAGTAATAGTGAATCGTTACGCAAACACCGATATCATGGGATTGAATGATATCACATAAAAACCGATGGTTTTTGTCAGAGAAACAACATCTGTGTGAACGAACTTGTTCACACAGTTCTTATGATCTAATGGGTATATTTCGCTACAGTTAGCTTCTATCGGCATAATTCATCATGAAAGCCTCACTAACCACTGAAATGGCGATGCCTTCGAACAAGAGGACGTAGTGGAACACGCATCTTGGATCCTACTGCTGGCTATCACACTCTTCGTCGTTCTCCGTAGTTTCCCACTGGTTGGTCAATTTCTCCTCCTCAAGATTTGTTGGTCTCATTACTGAACTCTGTCAGTTATACGTTTAGGATTGTATAGATTCACTATTTTTCTAGTTAGATTCATTGCCAATTACACAATCCTCTGGCTGTTTTCACTAAGGTGTCTAGGATGAAACAAAATAAGTTGCCAATAAACCTCGTATTATTGTTTGCAATGTGGGTTATTTTGCTTTAGAGAGTGTGTTCTTAGTGAAGCACTTATATGTTAATACATTCACTGTCTCATTTATCACCGACATAGTATCCCACATCCCGACTATCGATCAGCTATTCTAAACTTGATTTATTTTATTTGGTCTGTGTTGTCTTTTTATGTTCACTAGATAAGTTAACTGGTCTGTACATTGTACACCGATTGACCACAACATTACGGATGTGTTCTTGAGGGATATTGCTAAAAGTAAAATCAGAATTCATAACTGTTGCAGATTCTGTTTGTTTTAAGCCGACTGTTTGGACAAATGCACAGGAAACGTGACAATGGTTACCCCCCCCTTCCCCTTCAACCAATTATTTTCTCCAATACTGAAACATAGAATTGTTGAGTAGTGCATTACATCTCTCGCGTCTCTTTATTTCAAAGTCACCTCGTTAATAAACTGAATAAATATCATATTATCGTACCTGCTTCTTTCATAAGTTTTAATAATTCACCCGAATTTTTCAGCATACCGTTAAAGTTTTGTTTACTTTTATCTGTTCACTTATAAAAGGGATCCTCGTGTAAGAACGGAGGCGTGCATGGCTTTCGAACAATTTCTTGATCCTAATATTATTCATGATATAGTCTATGGACGAGTTAAATTGCCTTCTTTCATTGAATTCGTTAATCATGTGAGTTAATCCATGTTGGGTGAATTGATCCCACTAGCGGTTTTTGATAAACAGTTATTTTGTTATCCGATGGTTGTTTTATAATATAATATCATGCTTCCAGCTTGGTTCTCTTATTACCACAGGATTCGTGAAAAATAATATTCAGCATGTATCTGAAAAATTACGGACCCACGCGAGGAGATATTTATACAGTCTACACGGTCATGTCAGATTTCATTTATTTTAGTGTGTTTTATATACTCATTAATTGTATTTTCCCACTTTCAGGATACCCAGCATTCGCGTAAAAATCCGTTTGTTGAAGTGGAACGTCTGGTACCGGTAAGTACACTTTTTTCTCTATATTCATTCAGTATATTGCTTATTAATATATAAATGTCTGCTTCAGTCGCATATATATTTATTCGTATTCATTAGTAAGTTCTTAACCTCTTCATATTGCATTACTGTCATTATATATATAATTGAACAACCACTTGCATTTACATATGCTTCACAGTGAGTCTGATTCATTAAGAATGCCAATGACTTTGTAGCGCTTGTGGTTGGCATCGCTTGATTTAAGCAGTACATTGTGTGCTGTCGGCCAGGAACAAACGATTAATAGAGGGTTACAGTTCTGAAAAAAAACGAAGAAGCAGCAATAAGTGAGTTATAACTTATTCTTAATATAGGTACATTGGTCTGTCTGTCTGTCTGTCTGTTTTCGACATAGAACTTTGCACAAATGTGCGGAAGTTCAAGTCGCCACATTCCGTGTAGCACGCGAAGCAAGAGAAGAAAGTACAAGAAAAGCATAATAGAAACAGTGAGCAGAGGTGTGAGACAAAGGAGTAATAAAGAAATACAAAACAGTTTCATTGGAAATCATAAGTCACAGGGAGTGGATGCATCTGCGCCACTGAGAACGATTTTGAGCCATGTCACCAATTGTTTCCAACCATAGATTTTTACCGTCCCGAGGACCCCAGCCTGGAAGTCTACACCTTCCTACGTGGCTTAGACCAACTGTTGTGGATTTCATTGACTGATGCCAAGTTTTTGTTTGACCGCCGCTAGCTTTTTTCCAGCCTGACCCTATATCCGCTAACATTGCTCGTCGAGGGAGGCGATGACTTGGCATACGTAACACATGTCCTAACCATCTCAGTCTTTGTAGCTTCACGACTTCGTCGATTGATTTCCCCTGTTTACCTAGAACTCTACGCCTAACCTCAATGTTGCTCACCTTATTATGCCACTTTACACGGGAAATAGAACGCAGGCACCTATGATCAAAGACAGCTAGTCTTTTCATGTCTTCCACTCTCAGTGGCCAGGTCTCACAACCATAAAGGAGGACGGAGCGGACTGATGAGCAGTACACCCGCCCTTTGGTCGATAGTCGAACATCTCGTCTACGCCAGAGTCGGCGTAAACTAACAAATGCGAAACGAGCCCCTTGTATTCGTGCTGAGATTTCGTCAGAGATCAGCCCGTTGGGGCTGATGGTACTTCCCAAATAAGTGAAGCGGTCAACGTGCTCTACCACTTCACTTCCTATTTTTAAACTAGGCGTCGATGTAGTCCAGTCCTGTAACATCATCTTGCATTTGGCGGGAGCGAATCGCATGCCAAACATTCGTAGATTGCGGCTCAAGGTGTTTAGAAGACTCTGCATTTCGTCAGCGTCTTCGCCTAGAAGGACTATATCGTCTGCATATTCCAAGTCAACGAGATTATTCCCGGTAGCAAGTCAATCCCTGAGTCGCTGAAGTCACCTAGGGTTAAGTCCATTAACACATCTATGATGAAGTTGAATAGAAAAGGAGATAATGGGCATCCTTGACGGACACCACTGGTCGTCATCAGTTCAGATGACAGCTCGCCGTAAGCCCTCACCTGGCTGTATGAGTACGAGTAGAGTGCCTTAATCAGTGCAATATATTTTCTTGGAATTCCCTTTACAGCCAAGCATCTCCAGAGAACTTCCCGATCGACAGAGTCGAATGCTGCCTTTAGGTCAAGAAATATAATGACTGTTGGACGCCGGTAGGAATGCCTATGTTCTAGAATCTGTCGGAGGGTGAAGATATGATCAATACACCCTCTTCCTGGTCTAAAGCCTGCCTGGCTCTCTCGTGTTTGTGCTTCCCGAGCACCACTCAGTCTACGCATGATTATTGAGCCTAAGACTTTAGATACTATATTAGTCAAGCTAATCCCTCTGTGATTATCACAGGAAGACTTGTCTCCCTTCTTGTATATGGGGATAATCAGTGACTTACACCAACCCGATGGGACTTCTTCTGATTCCCAGACGCTGCCTAGTACCTCAGTTAATCCGGACAGTAAGCTGTCTCCACCGTACTTAAATACCTCTGGAGTCATTCCATCAGGTCCCGCTGCTTTGCCTAGTTTCAGATTGGTGACAGCTTTAGTAACCTCAGTTAGTGACGGAGGACCTGTGTCTATATCCCATTCAGGGAGGTGTTGGATGCTCGGAAGGTTGAGCGTGGCTGTGGGCAAATTAAACTGCTCCTCATAATGCTCTTTCCAACGATCCAGTCGTCTATCCTGGAGCTAATTATAGTGCCATTTTTTTCCGAGATTGTCTCACTAATGATTTGTCTTCTCCCACCCGTTTCCCTGATGAGTCCAAAGAGTTGCCTGGTGTTGCCTATCCTCAAAGCTTTCTCCATCTCTTTGGCTTTTGTCGCCCACCACTGTTCACGGTCCTTGCGGAGACTTTTCGTAAGTTTCCTCTTGTGCAGCTTTCGCTCCTCATTGAATTCGGAGCTCGCCGGAATAAGTCTTCTAGCATCTATCAGTTCGGATGAGGCGGTGGAGATCCAGTGGTTTTTACTCACCTTTGGGTTTACCTTATTCACAGCTTTTACAGCTGTATCTATGGCTGCCTGGATATTTTTCCAAGCTTCTTCAGGGTGAGCACAGCTGTCGAACACAGATATGTGTTTAGCTAGTTCTTCCTCAAATACGGATTTAGTTTCCTGATCGAGCTGGGGACGTGATGGTTTTACCGCCAGCTGTTTCCTACGTCCGTTCAGTCGTAAGCACACCCGCGCGCGGACCAGTGCATGGTCGGTATCTACGCACGTGTTCCAGAAGGAGCGACAATCTCCTACCGACCCACGCCAACGATAGCTTATTGCTATGTGGTCTATTTGTGTCCAGCGTTGGTTTGATGAAGGGGGTCTCCAAGTCAAACAGTGTCTCTCCTTGTGTTTGAAGTTAGTGCTTACAAGAAACAAATGATTATCAGAGCAGAACTGTAGGAGACGGTCACCGTTGTCGGTTCGCTGGCACGGAGCTCCATAGGTGCCACCGACATCCTTCTCAGATTGACACAATTTCCCTACTTGAGCGTTAAAGTCACCAGCTAGAACGACTATGTCTGAGCGTTTAGCCTTTCCACCAAACTAGACAGCTTTTGGTAGAACTCATCCTTCGTTTCATCTGAACTGCAGTCAGTGGGGGCGTAGGCGGAGATTACGAAAAGGCATCGGCGAGTAGTGCAGTCCTTCCTCCTTCTTACTGATCCGTTCAGGCGGACAGCACACATTCGGCTATCTACCGGGATCCAGTCAAGCAATGTCTTTTCTGCCCTAGTACTCAAAGCTATCCCTACGCCAGCTAATCCTCGTGAACTAGCTGTGGCATCTCCTGACACCCTCAGGGTGAATTTTGCAGATTCAACCTGTTGGCCAGGTGGGGTTAGGTGAATAACCACACTTGGGTCTTGTATGCGTGTTTCTGAAACACAGCATACATCAATGGCTCGTGATGCCAGGGTCTTGGCTAGTGATGCTTGTTGTCCTATTTGGCAAAGTGTCCTAACATTAAGAGCTCCTATATGAAATTGGTGGCGCGGCTTTAAGAGGCTGTCGGTGGTGGTTTTTTGGCTTCCATCGTTTTTAGTGGACGCAGAGTGGAGAGGAAGTGGAGAGCTATCAAGTCGAGGAGTTGCATCAGTGGAAGGAAGGCAAGATGATAGAGATGAAGATGAAGACAAAGATGAGTGAGTAATAGAGAGGTTTCGTGTGCATTTCGGATTGTGAGGGCGATTGTTACTTCCCGGCTGCCCACACCGTGGAAGTTGGTTGCGTGACCGCAGAGCCCAGGGGACAACTGCTTGAGGCCGGTCACACGCGGCCTGTTTTTGTTCGTTCTTTTTTGTTTGGTGTGTCTCAGTAGCAGATTTATCACTCCCGCCCTGTGACACGGCAGCAGGAAGCGCGGTCGTTGTTAATCCGGGCCACGGCCGATCCGGCATGAAATTTTGTAATTTTGTATTGGACATGATGTTGGATTGGGTAGCTGCTTTTTGTTTAACCGCTATCCAAACAACCTGCCTGGCATGGTAGAACCTCAAGAGACATAAGTCTCAGCCAGTATAGCTTGAATAGATCATTGCGGTGTTCAAGCCCGACCACCACGTCAAGGTAGCAGCTTTCTGTCGGGAGGTACACTGGTATTACTTATAAAGGGTAAATAGCCTTAACTGAGATAGGTAAAGTAACGTGACAGAACAGAAAACTTGCGAGCAATACTGCATACTCATATTAAGTAATGCAAAACTTAAAGCAGAAAAAAGGTGGGCAGCAGATAGAAATGTAGATTCTAAATACGCGATAAACGGAAGTGGAGAAGAATACCGTAAAATGTTAACTACTTTTCTTATTTTCATATTATAGTGTAATAAAATCCACGTACTTATTACGACTAACTTGTCCACTTTCCATTTTTGATACAGTTGGTCGCCTTCTTCACATATACTGTTCTTTATCATAATAGTTTTCAGTCTGACTCGATCTTATAGTTAGTTGATTACTGATCCAAATTATCACCTCTAATTATGGTAATTAGTCTTATCAAACCAGTTTAGATGTAGAAATAATCTTTATCTTGCTGTATTTTGCAGGTAGTTCAGTTTATTCGTTTGTGCTTATTGGCGACGCGTAGTGGACTAACCCCTGTGCCGGAAGCAGGTCTTACTTATGAGACAGAAGAAGAAGTACGATATTTAATCAATCAAACTGTAAAATATTTTCTGTCCGTTGGAAACTCAACCAACCAAGTGTCTGTCAACACGAACAGCGCATCAACAGCTAACTGTAACAATACAACAACTACACCTTCAACTGGTTCAAACGTTCTCCTTATTAATCCTGAGCAAGCAAAGCGCAGTATTGATACTTATTTCCGACTTATTCAAGTGGTGATTTTCACAAGATCTCAACATACTAAAGATTGTTAGTTCTTTATAATTGTGATTTTTTTCTCTTTTAGATTTTAGTAATATTCTAGTGTTAAGCATAGAAGACTTATTTAATAAGTCTGTACGTATTCATTTCGCAAAGTAGATTTCGTCCTAAAATAAAGAGTTATTAAAATGATCTTAAAGTCCCAAGACCAATTATTACCTGAACGTATTTTTAAGTTGTTTTTCGATTTCATGTTCATTGCATCAACCTTGTGGTGGTGTATGCGTTTTTTTAGATTCATTTACTTATTTATTAAAACTTGTAATTTGAATAGGAGTTTTCTTTAGCTCTTTAGTATTAGTAGCACTTACAGCTAACTTTATAGCTGTACTCGTAATAATACATAACTAACTGATTGTGGAAATGAATGTTAGTTAAACTGATACAGTATAAATGTGTTATTAACTGCTAGTATGAGCCGGGCTGTGTAAGCATGTAGATATCTGGTGATTTGCTTCCATGCAACAAAATATCAGAAAATTTCTAGGAATCTGACATAATATTGATCGCAGTGTTTTTTACGGATGTGTATTAATGGCTTGTTAGTTAGTTTGGTAATATTACACCTCGTTCGTTAGTTCACTTTTTCTTAAATCCAATAATAATAATAACAACAACAAATATAATACCTTACCTTTAAGTAAATGAGTCAATTTCATTCTTTTGTTTTGTGTTTGATATACAGCTATGAGGCGTGACAACCTGTATACCATCATGCATTAGGGATAGATCTTACGTTAGTAGTGTCTGTTTGCTTGCCCACGCTAAGCAAGCGTTCTCAAAACCAGATTTATAACAATTTTTGGCTAAGGCGATTGCATATGATAACCTGTTGTGTAGTCAATTTTTATTTTTCCTACAAATTGTTTTTTTTAAACTGCTATCCGTTTTTTGTTTATCTCTTGTTTACAGCTCCGGATTTCCCAAATTATTTAGAAGAAGTTTTAGTTGGTAATACTAAAGAACTGATAACATGCAACAAACAACTTTTCGACCGTATGAATGTAAGTTTATCCACTATCTTTCAGTTAAATTATATTCAAATTACGCAAACCTTTGTTGTACAAGCCATTTTTTTTGGGATAATTTATCATTGGAATTTTTCTCAGTATCACTTCAACGACTAAGGTCATTCAAAAGTACAAAAGATGTTTTTCTGACGATACATTTAATGTACTGATACTCGATTCACTAGATAATATACATTCATTAGCAGATGTAATGGATAATGCTTTTTTTCCTTTACGTTCCCCAATGGAACATAAGGCCTTAAGCTAGTGGATTGAAGTTTCTGTAGAAGTGTTTATTTTACAGGATGGGGTTGCTAGCCTCATGCTCAACCTTCCCTCTTTACCAGCATTATTCCCGGCTGAGCGAGGTAAAGGATTGAGTCGGCCGGTGATCGAACCCCGGACCATGGGTATCGTTGTCGAGCGTCCTAACCGTTATGCTTAGTGATCTAAATTAGTTCCTCCTAAACCTTGCCGTCTATGCAGATTACTGGTTCTTCTGCTTGTCTAAATAGAAGTTACTTTTTAAGAAGACATTTTAAATCTTTGTCAGCAATATTATTCTATTATGTATATCCTTACCATTCTACTTAGATTTCCAGAAATTATAAATTGTGCGATTTAGATTTCTGTCAAAATAATTTTATATTTTGCCATTAATTTCTGTCATTGTTTGTTTCAGAGTGTACTATTAGCTACTCCAAGAGGAGCAAGTTGTCGTCATGCCTGTGCTTCTGTGTACAGTGTTGTTGTTATGGAGACTGAAACACCCGCACAGGCTTTACAGACAGCTAAAGATATGCTTAATGTATTGCCTAATCCTGGAGCTGTTATCCACGTAGAATTATCTCACGCAGTCCAAGGCATGTTCATGGGTGCTGCTTATCTCCTGGAACGGTTATTCACAACTCATGTTGTACCATTGACTGCTGCTAAAATTTCTTCATTAAAAAACAAACAGGCTTCCACAGAGCAGACTAAAAAGGGAAAAAAAGAAAAGCAACAAAACCAAAGAAGTCTACAAACTGATATTATTCAAACTATTGGGCAAATTATAAATCTAATGGGTTAGAAGCTTTTTTTGTTGTTGTTTTTGCGTGTATTTGTGTGCAGCCAGTTGCATTCCACTTGTCAACTTAACAGACTTCTCAGTCTCACTTATTACATCGCTTTACTGTTTTCAGTTTATTTAATTATTCCTCAATTGATTTGTTGACTGAGTAATGGTTGGTTTCATTGAACCAGGCATTAACGTAATCTCCGCCTACGCCCCCACTGACTGCAGTTCGGATGAAACGAAAGATGAGTTCTACCAAAAGCTGTCTAGTTTGGTGGGAAAGGCTAAACGCTCAGACATAGTCGTTCTAGCTGGTGACTTTAACGCTCAAGTAGGGAAATTGTGTCCATCTGAGAAGGATGTCGGTGGCACCTATGGAGCTCCGTGCCAGCGAACCGACAACGGTGACCGTCTCCTACAGTTCTGCTCTGATAATCATTTGTTTCTTGTGAGCACTAACTTCAAACACAAAGAGAGACACTGTTTGACCTGGCGATCCCCTTCAAACCAATGCTGCACACAAATAGACCACATAGCAATAGGCTATCGTTGGCGTGGGTCGGTAGGAGATTGTCGCTCCTTCTGGAGCACGTGTATAGATACCGATCACGCACTGGTCCGCGCGCGCGTGTGCCTACGACTGAACGAACGTAGGAAACAGCTGGCGGTAAACCCATGACGTCCCCAGCTCGATCTGGAAATTAAATCCCTATTTGAGGAAGAACTAGCTAAACACATATCTGTGTTCGACAGCTGTGCTCACCCTGAAGAAGCTTGGAAGAATATTCAGTCAGCCATAGATACAGCTGTAAAAGCTGTGAATAAGGTAAACCCAAAGGTGAGTAAAAACCACTGGATCTCCACCGCCTCATCCGAACTGATAGATGCTAGAAGACTTATTCCGGCGAGCTCCGAATTCAATGAGGAGCGAAAGCTGCACGAGAGGAAACTTACGAAAAGTCTCCGCAAGGACCGTGAACAGTGGTGGGCGACAAAAGCCAAAGAGATGGAGAAAGCTTTGAGGATAGGCAACACCAGGCAACTCTTTGGACTCATCAGGGAAACGGGTGGGAGAAGACAAATCATCAGTGAGACAATCTCGGAAAAAAATGGCAGTATAATTAGCTCACAGGATAGACGACTGGATCGTTGGAAAGAGCATTATGAGGAGCAGTTTAATTTGCCCACAGCCACGCTCAACCTTCCGAGCATCCAACACCTCCCTGAATGGGATATAGACACAGGTCCTCCTTCCCTAACTGAGGTTACTAAAGCTGTCACCAATCTGAAACAAGGCAAAGCAGCGGGACGTGGTGGAATGACTCCAGAGGTATTTAAGTATGGTGGAGACAGCTTACTGTCTGCATTAACTGAGGTACTAGGCAGCGTCTGGGAATCAGAAGAAGTCCCATCGGGTTGGTGTAAGTCACTGATTATCCCCATATACAAGAAGGGAGACAAGTCTTCCTGTGATAATCACAGAGGGATTAGCTTGACTAATATAGTATCTAAAGTCTTAGGCTCAATAATCATGCGTAGACTGAGTGGTGCTTGGGAAGCACAAACACGAGAGAGCCAGACAGGCTTTAGACCAGGAAGAGGGAGTATTGATCATATCTTCACCCTCCGACAGATTCTAGAACATAGGCATTCCTACCGGCGTCCAACAGTCATTATATTTCTTGACCTAAAGGCAGCATTCGACTCTGTCGATCGGGAAGTTCTCTGGAGATGCTTGGCTGTAAAGGGAATTCCAAGAAAATATATTGCACTGATTAAGGCACTCTACTCGTACTCATACAGCCAGGTGAGGGTTTACGGCGAGCTGTCATCTGAACTGATGACGACCAGTGGTGTCCGTCAAGGATGCTCACTGTCCCCATTTCTATTCAACTTCATCATAGATATACTAATGGACTTAACCCTAACTCACTTCAGCGACTCAGGGATTGACTTGTTACCGAGGGAATAATCTCGTTGACTTGGAATATGCAGACGATATAGTCCTTTCAGGTGAGGACGCTGACAAAATGCAGAGTCTTCTAAACACCTTGAGCCGCAATCTACGAATGTTTGGCATGCGATTCGCTCCCGCCAAATGCAAGATGATGTTACAGGACTGGACCACATTGACGCCTAGTTTAAAAATAGGAAGTGAAGTGGTAGAGCACGTTGACCGCTTCACTTATTTGGGAAGTACCATCAGCCAACGCCAACGGGTTGATCTCTGACGAAATCTCAGCACGAATACAAGGGGCTCGTTTCGCATTTGTTAGTTTACGCCGACTCTGGCGTAGACGAGATGTTCGACTATTCACCAAAGGGCGGGTGTACTGCTTATCAGTCCGCTCCGTCCTCCATTATGGCTGGGTGTGAGACCTGGCCACTGAGGGTGAAAGACATGAAAAGATTAGCGGTCTTTGATCATAGGTGCCTGCGTTCTATTTCCCGTGTGAAGTGGTATAATACGGTGAGCAATATTGAATTTAGGCGTAGAGTTCTAGGTAAAGAGGGGAAATCAATCGACGAGGCTGTGAAGTTAGAAAGACTGAGATAGTTAGGACACGTGTTACGTATGCCTGGTCATCGCCTTCTTCGATGAGCAATGTTAGCGGATATAGGGTCAGGTTGGAAGAAAGCTAGCGGCGGTCAAACGAAAACATGGCACCAGTCAATGAAATCTACAACTGTTAGTCTAAGCCACGTAGGAAGGTGTAGACTTCCTGGCTGGGGTCCTCGGGACGGTGAAAACCACTGGTGGGTAACAATTGGTGACATGGCTGAAAATCGCTCTCAATGCATAGCGCAGATGCATCCACTCCTTGTGACTTATGATTTCCAATGAAACTATGTTGTTCTTCGTTATTACTCTTCCTTTGTCTGACACCTCTGCTCACTGTCTCTATTATGCTTTTCTTGTACTTTCTTCTCTTGCTTTGTATGCTACAAGGAGGGAGTGTGGCGACTTGAACTGCCGCACATCGGTGGAAAACAGACAGATAGATTCCTTCTTAAATACCTGTATTTAGTGATTCGTCTTATCTGTTCAATTAGAAACATAACCTGTTCCTGATTTCATCAGTCAAGTGGTCTTTTAACGGTATTACATATGCAGGTCCCGAAGAAACATTTCAGTTTCATAAAAATCCTAAGCGTAAACCTGTAACTACTAGTGTTGACAGATGGCACCTTCAATTTGCATTTCTGTTTATACTTTCTGCAGGCATGTTTTAGTATATAATTCTTTTATCCTGAAGTCATTGTCTCTCTTCAAATGCTTGTATAATGTGACAGCGTTAAATAAAAACCCTAACAGAGTGTAGATGTTTCAGGAAACACAGAGAAGCGACTATATATTAATTGTTGTGTACACCATATTTGGTGACATTTATGTGATCTACGCTGGAAATATATTGCTCTGAATAGTAGTTTTATAGCGTTATTGTCAACAAATAAAATCCTTTTTCTTTTCATCTCAACTTATCTTTGCGTGTTTAACTTTAGAAAATATAGTTATTCTGTTATAATTACTTTGTAGATCCTTTTCTGGTGAAACCCAGTCAACTTATCGATAGTTTGAAAACGAACAATACCAAAAATACTGTTGCTAACGATGGATTTTATTATGTAAATTCTACTGTGGCACAGGCTACAGTTACTGCTTTACTTGAAGCACTTGTAGTAATTGGAAGAGCTGGTTGCTTATCTCATTTACCTCATGGTTCACTACCTATTACAGGAAACTGTCCACTGATAACTTCTAAGGCTTCACTAGTTCATCGTATTCTATCATACCTTCCTAACTCAAGTGAAGAACGTTCTTCATCATCTCTCAAGTATCCACGAGTTTCACAAGCTGCTCTTCGTGCATTAGCAGCTCTTTGTATGGGTGAAGGTTATCATGCACATAGTGATGATCCAGTGAATGCCGTAACTACGACTATATTAACTGTAAAACCCAACTGCCATCCTCATACAATATCTATTATGAAAGCTATGGTTAATATGGCTGTTGTGAGTTCAGGTTTTTGTTCTATGTTTATTCATCATATCCTTTACAACATTAATACTTATTTTCTCTTGGAAACGTATACATTATACCCGATTATGTATAAGAAATATTTGAACTATTTCCTTCATTGTTTTTGAAGTAATGTTATTATTACAGACAGGCAAAATCGATTAACTCTACTGTTTTTTTTTTACTTACAGTTTCTGTTTTTAAGTGTATAATTCCCAATCATGTAACGCCTAAATATTTCCTCATTGTTTTTAACATGTTCTGAAGTTTGAAGTGTAGGCTGTAGTCTAGCTGTTTATATGAAAAATGAATGTGAAGCATGTTTGTTATATGTACAAAGTACCGAGAACTTCTAGATAGTATGTTGTCTGTAGATTTGATTAAAACACTTTTTGTGTCAATGTGAAAAGAAATTAGTGCTTTACATTAGTCGATTGTTTCATGTTCAAAGTGCAGAAAATTATTAGAAATAGGAGTGGCGTGTGTGGTTTGGTTTATAATTTGAAATAAAAGAATGAAATGTTACTTAACAACCACTTGCAATGCAGTTGGCAATCAGTCACGCCTATTGTGTGAAGACTGGTGGTACTGCCTGGCTGCCCAAAACCTCGACAGGTGGAATGAGTTTTGACTACGTAACGCATCGGTTTGCAGTCGTTCTCTTATTCCTATTAGGCACACACCTCGATGATAATACTTCCACTCATTATTGCATAAGTAAAAGGGAATATATATAAAAGTTTTAGGTCAATAAATCTTTATGTTTTGTTAATGTTTACACTAATAATCTTACATAACTTTTTTTAACCAGGTATGTAATGTTGTACCAGCAGATTTCATCCTTCAGTATGTTAGTTTCAAATATCATTTGGCGAAATCCTACTATCTCACCTTAATGTGAAAAAGTGGTGTAACTGAGTAGTCTGGTACACATATGAACATATTGGGCGAAGGAGCACTCGTTGTATTTTTCATTCATTTTAATCATAGACTTCTGGCAGCTAAACTCATCACCAACTTTGTAACTGTTTACAGTATTTAGTACACAGTGATTTTATATGTGAAATCCATCGGTCAATAATATAATGCCTAATTGATTGAGCTTTACATCCCATCCCATTGGATTGCTTGTTTTTTGTGCAAGTCTTAAAGGATTCTAAAAGAAGAAAACTTTGTTTACCCACGAAGTTTTGATTTTAGCTATACAACTACTGTTGGATGGATAACGTTAGTGCCTTTCTAGATAAACAGTACTCAATTCAGCCAGAATGTCTTAACTAATTTTTTTTCTTTTCTAAACTTGTCTCTCTGTAGATTAACGACTCAAGTCTTCATCTGGCTGTGGGTACTGCTCTAGCTGACTGTATTCTTGGTCCCGTATCACCTTACAAATTTCATTGGTATGAAAGAAAGTATCCTTTAGTGATCCCGAAGAATATTTTAAAAAAAGCTGTTAAAGGACCAGTTGGCCAGTGGTTAGCAGAGCAGTTACAAACACTTCTTACTCGCCGTCCAGGACAGGTGCAAACACGACCAGCTACTATAGCTGCAACACTTTGGATACTGAATTTAGTTCGTCGTTTGGGTCCACTGCCAAAGTCTTTACTTTCTTACCAGTTGCTTATCGACCTTTTGGACGAAAAAGATGGTAATAATAATCAACATGTTTTAGCTTCATATTTGACTAATCATTTTATGACATAGATCAGATAACTGAATTTTCTCTCATAAGTTTTTCTTCGCGATATTCAGCTGGTCTGGTTATTATCTGTGATAAGTTACTGTACCTAATGTCAGACTGGCTTCTAGCACTATCCGTTTTCTCATCTAAGTAGCAGTTTAGAAGTGTTATAAGGGGATGACATCTTCCAAAAGAATGGATATCCGCGGAATTTCATCTAAGGACATACACCCCCAAACCAACCGATCAAACCAAAGGCCCCCAAGGAAATCACAAAGAAAATCGCCTTACCATATATAAAGGATATCTCAGAAATCACTACAAGACTCTTCAAACCTTTAAGAATTGACATCGTACACAAACCAACAAAGTCATTTCACTCAATTCTATGTCAACCAAAAGACTTAACAGCGAAAGAAGATAAAACTAACATCATCTACAAAATAAATTGTAACAACTGCGAAAAACACTACATTGGCCAAAATGGACGTCCCCTTCGTCTTCGTATCCACGAACATAAGCTAGCCGTCGAAAGACATGATATTCACTCCCTCATCTCACTACACACAGACAACCACAGACATCAATTCGACTGGGACAACGTTGAAATATTAGACAGAGGAAACAACAAGAATGCTAGAGAATTTTTAGAAGCTTGGCATTCCAGTGAATCATCAATCAATAAACACATCGAGATAGACAAAATTTATCAACCAATAAGAAAGAAACCCCACACACAAAGGGTCAAAGTTCAAGTAAAAGAAACAATTAGTTCCAACACAATTAACCTAGGTGTGAAAACACACAGAAACAACCAATCATGTTCAAGGTCACTCGCCGGGAGAGATGAATAATAAACTCGTGGAGAAATCTAAAAGCTGACTTCAAATTGAAGTATGCACTGAAGATGTCGCCTAGTAGGGTGATGAAAGCTTCGCAAATTAACCATCCAGCTCAGAGAACACAACCACATCAAAAAATGATGACATCTTTCTTGGATCTAGTGCTCATTGAACTTGGAGCATCAGAGTTAGCTAAGCCTTCCTAACATGTGTGTTTTAGGAAGTAATACACGTATCGAAAAATCATCGACATTTAATTTCTAGAGAAAATACAACACGCAATTCAGCGAAGTATCTGTTTTCGGCGAATTCATTTTCGAAATTACGTAATTTCGTATTCTCTACTTTGTTCCTATGTGTATCCTGAGTACAACTCAATCATCCAACTATCCATATTTTTATTTCTTAGAGTTAGTTATCTATTTATAATACAAATGTACTGAAATTTACTACGTTAGCACACGGTTTTTCTTTTAGACTATTATGATATTATCAAAATGTACACGTTTACCATTTTAAACAGCTTAGAAATGTGTTTTCATAAGTTACTTTTGCTACTTTTTGCGTGAATAGTGAAGTGATCTCTGTATCGTTGCGTAGGGAATTTATAACAGTTGTTATTTTTTCATTTGTTCAGAAGTTTTCTTTGTGCAATCGATTAGCCCATCCTGTAAAATTGATTTACCTCGTAATGTGTGTTATTCAATATACTTTTAATTGTAGATTCCATACAGTGTGTTGTTGTCGCTACTCTGGGTTTAATATATGATAGAAGTTCAGAGGAAGAACGTTCAGAACTTATATCAAAGTTAACGAAAGCTGTTACAAACGATCAAAAGTAATTATTTCAATCTTGGCTTTATTCTTTTTTTTCTATAAAGAAACCTATTGGTAACATACATTTTATGAGTAAAATTGAGACATATATTGTGTATCTAGTATTATTATTATTATTATTGTATCCTTTAGTTCCTAGAGGAACATAGGGCTTCAGCTGCGCACCTCCATTTACTTCGGTTTTTTGACAACTTTTTCACCCTGCTCCAGGTCTGCCCACATGCTTTCATCTCCTCTTCACATGACCTCCTCCAAGTCACCCTTGGACGACCAACTCGCCGCCTCCCTTTCGGGTTCCACTCGAGGGCTTGTCTAGTGATGTCACTTGTTGGTTTCCTCAGCGTATGGCCAATCCATCTCCATTTCTTTCTGCCTATTTGTTTCACAATCGGTTCCTGATTGGTTCGCTCCCAGAGATCCCTGTTTCTGATCTTTTCTGGCCATCTGATCTTGAGTATTGAGCGGAGACAGTTGTTAATGAAGGTTTGAAGTTTGTTTGAGATGCTCTTTATGACTCGCCAAGTCTCTGATCCGTATAGTAGCACTGACTTCACATTGGAGTTGAAAATCCGGATCTTATTTTTGATGCTGAATGCTGTTGACCTCCACACAGATTTGAGAGTAATGAAAGCTTGCCTTGCTTTTCCGATTCTGGCTTTGATGTCCTCGTCAGTTCCGCCTGTAGTTGAGACGATGCTTCCCAGGTAGGTGAAGGAGGTTGTTTCTTTCAGGTTCTTCCCATTTATGCTTATTGTGGTCTGTTGTTGCTGTTGATGTTGGCAAGGAATCTTCATCATCTCTGTTTTATCTATGTTCACGTGAAGTCCTATCTTTGATGCTTCTTCTGCCAACTTGTTACTTTTCATTTGCATATCTTCCAGTTTATGGGAAATCAGACATATATCATCGGCGAAATCCAGATCCTCCAAGTCTTTTGTGCCAGTCCATTTTATGCCTGTTCCCTCGTTGGTTGACGTTGTCTGTCGCATTATCCAATCGATTGCAATCAGGAAGATCATTGGTGATAGTAGACAGCCTTGCCTCACTCCCGTCCTCACTTCGAAGGCTTCCGTAAGTTTCCCGTTGTGGATTACTTGGCATGCAGCATTGTCGTATAACTGTTGGATGAGATGTATAATTGTCGGTGGGACCCCGTAGTAGCGAGTTAGTTTCAGAATCACCTCTCGATCGACGCTGTCGAAGGCCTTTTCAAAGTCGATGAAGTTGAGATAGAGAGGTGACTGCCATTCCAAGCTTTGTTCAATGATGATCCGTAGAGTGGCGATTTGATCAATACATGATTTGTTTCTCCTGAATCCAGCCTGTTCCGGACTAAGTTTTTCATCTAGGGCTTGTTTGATTCTCTCCAGGATGATGCGACTTAGTATCTTGCTTGGAATGGACAGAAGCATAATTCCCCGCCAGTTTTTACATTGACTTAAGTCTCCTTCCTTTGGAAGTTTGAATAAGTAACTGTTCTTCCAATCCTCGGGTACTTTGCCCTCTTTCCACACCTTCTCCAGTAGTGGTGTCATCAAGTCCGCTGTTGTCTCTGGGTCTATTTTCAAAGCCTCTGCTGGAATTCCATCTGGTCCCGGTGTTTTCCCAGTTTTAAGCATCTTGATTGCATTCAGGACTTCCGATTTCGTCGGGGGGTCAGTGTTCACTGGTAGTTCTGCTTCCGTTGTTGGTATTGCTGGACGTGTTGTAGGTGGCGGACGATTTAGAAGTCTTTTGAAGTGTTCAACCCAGTGCTTTCTCTGTTCCACCTCTTTGGTGATTGACTTTCCATTGTCGTCCTTTATTGGCTTAATCTGTGTCGAACGTTTGCCCGAAAGGTTCCTAGTTGTTTGGTAGAGTGTGGCGAGGTCTCCTTTGCCTGCAGCTTGTTCTGCTTCGTTTGCCATGGTTTCATAATATTTTCTTTTGTCTTCCCTGGCACTTTTCTTCACTCTTTTGTTCAGTGTATTGTAGCTTGCATTCAGCTCCTGTTTTTGTTGCTCGTCGTGCACTGGATAATCTTTTGCTTCACTGTCCTTCTCTCTTCTATTAGTTTCCAAGTGTCCGTAGTAAGCCACTGTTTGTCCTGTCTCTTTTTTCTGCCTAGAATTTCTATACAGGTTTGGCTCCACACCGTTTTCAAGTTGTTCCAGTGCTTTTCAACGCCGACCTCTTCGCTAGTGTTGATTTGTGTCTCGGCTTTGTCCTTTATGCTTGCAATGAAGATGTCCTTTGTATCTAGTATGGTTAATTTTTATCCTTATATAACACATATACTCATGTAATCTTTGTAATTATTGTGTACTCTTGCAGTGTTATTTATACTTTCTATTTTGAGTGACTGACTGAGTTTTCAACATAGAATTTTGCATGGTTGTAACACTTCAAACAGTCTCACTCCATGTGGCACACATTAGTAGCGAAAAGTGATAATTAAGAGGGATTAAATTATCAGAAAATGGATGATAAGGTGGATGTAATGGATCTGGCAGATTCTAAACAGTGAATATGTTCACTTCGTTGAGAACGGTTTTTAGCCATGCCTGGATGACCCCAGTCAGGCTCAAACCAAACAGTCAAATATTTCAGGGATTAGTGCCATCTTTTGATATTGCCATCCCTAACTCTTACAGAAGCAGAACGACCAGTGGACATCAACCCTCCGCCGAAAACAGAAATCCCGAAGGCCGTAAGTATGCTAAAAACTGGAAAGCAGCAGGACCAGACGGAATTCCTGCAGAGGCATTGAAAATGGACCTAGAGACATCAGCGGACGACTCCACTACTGGAGAAGGTGTGGAAAGAAAGCAGGGCACCTGCGGATTGTTAGAAAGACTACTTATTCAAACTACCAAAGAGAGGGGGCTTAGGTCAATGCAAGAACTGGCGTGGCATTATGCTCCTGTCCACCCAAGCAAAATATTAAGCCACACCGTCCTGGAGAGAAACAAACACGCCCTGGATGTAGAACTTCGACAGGGACAGGTTGGATCCAGGAGGAACAAGTCATGCATCGATCAAATCGTAACACTACGTATCAACATTGAAGAGAGCTTGGAATAACAGCCAGCTCTCTACCTAAAGTTCATTGAATTTGAAAAGGCCTTCTGCAGACAGCATCTATCAAGAGGTGATTTGGAAACCACTTCGCCACTATGGGGTGCCGCCAACATTTTTACACCTCATCGACAACGCCGCATGCCAAGTAATCTACGGTGGGAAACTCACGGAATCCTTCGAAGTGAAGACGAGAGTAAGGCAAGCTGTCTGGCTGCCTACTGTCTCCAATGATTTTCCTGATTGCGGTAGACTGGATGGTGCAACAGACAGCAGACAACAAGGAGACTGGCATAAAATGGACTCAGACAAAATACTTGGAGGATCTGCACTTCGCCGATGATATATGTGCCTGATTTTCTCACAAACTGGAAGATATGCAAGTGAAAAGCAACAAGTTGGCGGAAGAAGCATCCAGAGAAGATAGGCCTTCAGGTGAATATAGATAAAACAGAGCTTATGAAGATTCCTGGCCAACACCAACTGCAACAATAACAGATAACAGACAACAATCAGTCGGCATAAATGGGAGAAATCTAAAAGAAGCAACCCCCTTCACCTACCTACCTGAGAAGCATCGTTTCAACTACTGGCGGATGGAACTAAGGAGGATATGAAAGCGAGGATCGGAAAAGCAAGACAAGCTTTCATTACTTTCAAGTCTGTGTGGAGGTCAGCAGCACGCCTATGATTAAAGACAGCTAACTTCTTGAAGTCTTCCACTTTAAATTACTAAATCTCACAGTTATAAAAGAGAATATAGCGAATTGCTACACAGTAGATATCGTCATACATAACTTGAAGCTGAAACAAATATATCATCAGAATGTAATCAATCATAGTCGAATTTTCATTAAAAGGATCAAAATTTATCGTCCAAGTTTATACGTGACCACTAAACTCTAACGCTTTAATAGCAATAGTATCAGCGTTAAGATTGGGTCAACAACAGACTGTAGTTTTAATACGACAGTTTTGCTAGGTAATCCGGTCTTACACCTATGGAATCAGACGCATTCTAATTAACTCCGTGATATTGTATGTAGTTTCATTACTTACTGAAAATGGTTCATATCTCTCAGGTAGCATGACTCTTGGGATAACAGATACCTGCTGGAGACTAAAATTCATCGCAGTATCGCTCTCTGTTTATAGGTATTTTGCTGTGATATCACCAAAACGTTTACTGTAATAATATAGCTTTTTTGATAAAACTGATGACATTTTTGATACCCAAAATACGTGTATACTTTATCATTAAAGTTAAGCAGCCTATCATCTCAGAAATGAACTTGGTTGCGAATATCTGTATAGATGCTAATGTGTCTTGCTAAATTTTTTCTACATGAATCTTCCTGTGATTGGTTTGTTAACATTTAGTCATTTTCTGACTTTAGGGAAAATTAGTCTAATTCGTTTGCCCCTTCGCTTACTCGGATGTTGTATCAGTGTTAATACACACCAGACTGTTGTATTATAGTCGAATTCAGCATTACTTGATGAAAAATGCAACTACTTTCCATAATATTCTGATGCGGCCTGTTATCGTTAAAACAAGAATTTGTCTATCACAGTCACTGCTGCTCTATAAATGTTTCGATTCTTCGCATCATATATATATCTTTGTATTTCTATATTTCTACAGATCGGGTTCGATAGTGTACCGTGAACTATGTACGTTAGCTCAACAGATTGGACGTCCAGATCTAGCTTTGTCACTAATTGTTTTGGCCATCGCTCTCCCAGTACCATCACGTAACTCTAATACTGCTGCTAATACTCAATCTGGTAGTTGCTTTTCTAATATAGTATTCAATTTATCATCAAGTGTCACCTACTCAAGTTTAGTTCGTAGACTTGGAAGATCTTTGGCATCAGCTCTTCCACGTTTAGTGCCGCGAATTTATGTTCGTCGTTTTGACTTTGCTCGACCTAAACTTCGTCAAGCCATGGAAAATGTTTGGCTTGGTTTAGTATTGTATGCAACTAACTCTGCTACACCACTTTTATCTTCCAACCTAATATCTTCCAATATAAATATAAATGTCCCAAGTACAACAACTAGCAGTCCAACTAATCAAAATACCCCAGTATCTTCATCACCAGCACCAAACTCCGTACATTCTTTAGTTACAGAAATGGTAAGTTGTATGCGTCAGGTAGCCTTTACGTTTAATACTCTCGATGTTCTGATATGTCTTAAAACACTTAAGCCCTCACTTATCCTTGGCCCTGGTGGTGTACCTGCATATGTTCTAAAACAATGTGCAGATGCTTTATGTTCTCCTCTAACTAATATCCTAAATGCTTCTTTCTCCGAAAATGTTGTACCAGTTCCATGGAAAGACATTAAAATAGTCCCTGTCCCTAAACCTGGCAATAGCAGGAACGTAAAGCTCAGACCCATTGTCATCACTTCCCGTTTCTAAAGCTTATGGAAAAACTAGTACTTCTTAAACTCGAACCCTCCCTTAAAATCTTCAAAGACCCCAAACAATTTGCTTATAGATAGGCTAGGAACACTTTAGCCGCTACAGCCGTCTTACACAACAGTATCGTCTCATCATTAGATAAAGGTGCCAAATACGTCCGCTGCACGTTTTTCGACTTCACTACTGATTTCGACTCTGTACCTAGATGTCTCTTGTTAAATAAGCTCCCTATGACACAAACTGAGTCCTGGGTCACAAACTGGTTGCATTCTTACTTTTCAAACAGAATACAGTACACCGTATACAAAGGCGAATCCTCCTCTGCTGTGCTCACTGAAGCTGGTGTCCCCCAAGGTGCTGTACTCTCCCCACTCCTCATTTCTTTCTCTCTACATGACTTGCCATCTTCAAATGACATTAACTTTGTCAAATATGCTGACGACCTGACTGTATCTTTACCTGTCAAATGTCAAAGTAGCACTGACTGACTTCACATTGGAGTTGAAAATCCGGATCTTATTTTTGATGCTGAGTGCTGTTAACCTCCACACAGACTTCAGAGTAATGAAAGCTTGTCTTGCCTCTCCGAATATAACATTGTGATAAATATTTAAACTTTATTTGCAACTTTTATAACCTTTCGGAAATACTTTAACTACAACAGCTTCAATGCAAAGTTACGAAAAGAGAGAAAAAGCCTTTATCTTTTTATTAAATGTAGGTCCTGTACTCTCTCGACTCCTCATTTCTTTCTCTCTACATGACTTGCCATCTTCAAATGACATTAATTTTGTCAAATATGCTGACGACCTGACTGTATCTTTACTTGTCAAATGTCAAAGTGACTGCTCTAAACTAAATGGCTTTTTATCAGAAATCAGCCAGTGGTCCAAGGAAAACGGTCTCACCTTGAACCCTTCCAAATGTGCCAAGCAGTCAATTTCACCTTTAGGCATAAATCTGATCTAAACAAACTGGTGGTTAGCACTCACACGAGCTGTGCAACATAGATGGCACTGAAATAGAAACCAAGTCTGAAATTAAATACCTAGGTGTCATTCTATTTGCTGATCTATCCTGGTCGTCTCATATCTTGATGATTTCTAAGAAAATATTCCGTCTGACTTTCTACATCAAGGAGTTAAGATATTCTGGTATAAGCCAACCCTTACTCCTACAATTCGTTAACTTTCAAGTATTGGTTTTGTAGGGATTTTGTTTGATTGCATGGAGGATTTAATCATGAGCTGACATCAGTTAGAGAACCACTGGAAAACCTAGGAGTAGGTTTTCCAGTGGTTCTCTAACTGATGTCAGCTCATGATTAAATCCTCCATGCAATTCGTTAACTCTCGCATCCTGCCTATTATTCTCTATTGTTCCCCTTTAGTCTTTCCTGGGCTATTGAAGAAAGGCTATACCTTATTACGCAGGATGTTTAAGGTTGTTAGCGGAGTAAGCAACGTGCCACTTAACCAGCTTGTTAATATTCTGGTTGACAGGCACATGGATTCATGTGAAAAATGGGCTAAATCCATTCCATCCAACTCACACTACCCTCTTCATTCACAACTCTCCCCTTGTATCTCATCAGACAAAACCAGAAGCCTATATAGGAAACTATATCCTCGCACTAGTAAGTACAAAAACTCAACCATACGCTACTTAGTTCGTGTTTTGTGCGATAAAGAAAGCATTAGGCGTGATACCTATAACTTATTAAATAGTCAGTAGAACAACTGGATCTCGTCTTTCCCATTCATATCATTTATTATAGGTACAACGTTTTTCTTTCTTTCTTCTCCTTTTCTCTTTTGTTTTGTTGTTGTTATGTGCTGCTTTGTTTCTTCCTTCTTCACAAACTCTACTTAAAAGATTCTTCTTCGTTCTTCCACACTCTGTATATCTCGACCATTTTGCTATCGCTTACGCCAGTAAATATGCTAGTAGTATCTACTTTTCTAACACCTTCAAACACTCTGTTCAATTTTGGCTTTGCTATCGACATGCAGATATGTTGTTGTTGTTATAATGGAATGAGATTACCTTTAATCTGTGTAGAATTTTATTTATTGTTAATGTGCTAACTGGATGCGATACTGTAGTAAAATGCAGAGAATTCCATTCTGTGTATTACAACTACTGTTTTGGAATAAAGCAAATTATTATTATTATAACATTGTCATCTATGTTTCCTCCCTTGAATTTATTTTCTAGTTTTAATAATTTGTTATACTCTGCGTGATTGCCTTCAGTTCATTATTATGCTGTGTTTTCCTTTAATTTTCTCTCGTTCTATATTGCGGCTTCGATATTTGAAATGTTGGGTTCTGACTAACTAGCTGTAAAGTGACACAAGAATCCAAGCCTGTAGGGGGACTAATAATTGTGTCTACACATATCACTGTTATAAATGTCAACTACATAATCATAATTGTTAACATCTTTCAATCTGATGAATCTAAAGTATCCATGCAGATCCGATTAGTTTAAGTAAGGTGACATAAAAATGAAACTGTAGTCATCATTATTAGCAGAGTATGCTTATTTCTCCATCAGTATGTAGCAAAATACAACAAATTGAGTTCCTTTGTTAAGCATGTGTCAAAAATGAGGTCACATGTCCATCATAACTGTGGCTTATGAGTCTAGAAGCTTAACTTCAAACCAATGAATCACTGGTTCGCACTCCACTCCATCTACCAAAGGTTGTGCAATCTGATATTAACACCAGCCTTTACACAATAGGTGTAGCTGATTGCCGACTGTATTGGATTGCAAGTGGTAACTGAATAACGTTTTTCAGGTGAAAGCTACAAACGGAAGAAATTAACCACTTTATCCTGACACAGAACTAAGAATACTTACTGCATACAATACTTATAACCTATCACACCTGCGAATGTGATCAAATTCGAACAGTTTGTTAGTTTTATGGGATCGACACACGAATTTATTTTTTTGATTGGATCTGTCTGTCTGTTTTCGACATAGAACTTTGCACAAATGTGCGGAAGTTCAAGTCGCCACCGTCCCGAGGACCCCAGCCTGGAAACCTACACCTTCCTACGTGGCTTAGACCTACTGTTGTGGATTTCATTGACTGGTGCCAAGTTTTTGTTTGACCGCCGCGAGCTTTTTTCCAGCCTGACCCTATATCCGCTAACATTGCTCGTCGAGGGAGGCGATGGCTTGGCATACGTAACACATGTCCTAACCATCTCAGTCTTTGTAACTTCACGACTTCGTCGATTGATTTCCCCTGTTTACCTAGAACTCTACGCCTAACCTCAATGTTGCTCACCTTATTATGCCACTTTACACGGGAATTAGAGCGCAGGCACCTATGATCAAAGACAGCTAGTCTTTTCATGTCTTTCGCTCTCAGTGGCCAGGTCTCACAACCATAAAGGAGGATTGGATCAGTATGGATCAGTTGGTGGCTTTTTTCCTAACTGTTTCTGTATCCCTACGTGTGCTTCATTTATTTGCTATTAAAATTCTCCGGAATTTATTATTACTAACTTTTACAATTTTATTCATTTTCCGATTAGATTGAGGCACACTTCAATGCGATTGTATGCGAAATTAAGACTCAATTGGGATTTAATGCATTAAGCTTTCATATAACTCAAACGGGTACCAACTCCCCTCAGTCGATGACAAACACCTCAATTAGTGCTGGATCATCACCAGTAAAAGCTACAGGAAACGCCAGTCCACAGTCTAGTGGCACAGGTACACAAAACACACGGTTAAGAGATGCGTGTTGCTTAGCTATCACTAGTTTGGCTACACACCCCACTGCTGACAAACGTCTTGCAGGGCATTTACCAGCTCTCTTGTCTGGACTGCTAAACTTATGCGACGAGTGTGAGTCAGCTGACCTTTTGGAAAGTGATAATTCAGGTGTTACAACTCCCGCTGAAGAAGCTGCTATCACTGTGCAAAAGGTAAAGTCCAAGATTTTACTAAATGATAATGTTTTGTACATAATTCTCTTGATTGACTACCAAATTTAACTTATAGTTGTTTATTGTGAATCACTGCTTTAAGCATTTTCTGCCAAAATTTCTCAATAACTGTTTACTTGTATTTTACGTAGGCGTGTTACGCTTCTCAAACCTACATCGTGTCAATTCTTTACAACCAGAAGAAGAGGGCGTTTCTAAATCTTATGTGAATTTTTATTCAGAGATTGTAGTAGCCTGTAGCATTATCAGCTCTCAACGATGATAATGCATTCATAGGATGTGCTGTTCTTCAAATAATCTTGTCAAAAGGAGTAAACTAGGTTAACACGTCATCCAACTATTAAAAAATAAATAAGGTCCTAATGAAGTCAGAATTCAAACATATAACCTAAGTGCATTTAAATATTATTAGCTGTAAAATAGATGTACATAGTTAAATTAAATTGATATTATGTAATGCGACTTAAATTTTTATTGTTCTACCATCGCTTTATGTATATAACACTGAATTTTATGATTTTTTGCAGCTTGTTATACGTGTCCTAGAAAATCCATGTTCTCGTGAAGCAGCTACGGGACTTTTACCTGGTTTGCTACCAGTTATTATAGAACGTGCACCTTGGTCACTTAGTGCAGAGACAATTTCAAACAAAAGTGGACGCCAACCGCCCAGTGAATTAAGACGTCTAGCACTTGAACTTCTCTTAGCAGCTGCCCGTACAGCGCGTCCATCTGCTTTGCGTCCTGCTCTTCCACAACTGATATTATCTGGACTTCAAGCTATGAGTTCTATGCCTCCATCTGTTGTTTCTAACTTAATGCGACAACCTATTCATCATTTACATATGTATGCACAGAACTTACCTAGCATACTGAATCTTGCTCCGAATTTGTCACTAAAGTCAAGTAGTACAGTGGGAGTTGGCGTTACTCAGTCTAATCTTACCCCGTTGTCTACATTGACTCAGTTAAACTCAGGATCCAATCGCAAGGAAATTCAAATGGCAGAAGTTTTAAGACTAGTACGTCTTTATTCATTGTTGTTTGTAATTACCCTTAAAACTTTCTATCACAAACTCTTATTCACCAATATTAAGTTATAAAATTTTATTTTACCTTAAGAGTGTTTTTTTTCTATCCTTTTTGTTTTTGATTAAAATATCGATGAAAAGTAGTTTTTCGTGTAAATGTGGTGTATTAGCTTGATCCCTTGACTTTCAGCTAATGGGTCAAGGGTTCAAATCTCTCTCCATTTACTTCATCCTAGGTAACTAGATGGTATTATTAGCTTTCATGCAATAGATATGACTCATTTTCCAGTAACTGGTAAATTGCTGTGATATTTTCATCGCCTGTCTTTGACCGTTTTTTTTTATTTGCCTTTTGTAGTCTGTGCGCCTACTTGATGACATTTGCTTATCGCGTCTAATTGTGCCCTTCACTGAGCTAATAAAAGCTGGTGGTGGCTCTTCTACTGCATCTATAGGTGCAAGCAGTGCCACTGGTGGTAGTCGGGGAACAGGAGCTATTGGTTCTGCTTCTGTTGCAACTGCGACTTGTGTTTTTATTCACCATTTGGCTACGGCGAATGCAAGTGCTTTGGCTATTTCTCCTAAGACAAATACATGCTTGAGATGTGCGGCTTCCAAATCACAAACTACATCGAATGGTCTAGGTAAGTTAGATACGTGTGGTTTTGTCTCCAGTCTAAATTACTTGAACTTTCAACTTGTTTCCCTTCAAAAGTTATAGAGAAGTCGTTTTCGTAACTTCTGCTCAAATTAACTGTCTTATTTTTTTGTTAAAATCCTTATTTTACATGTCAGATCAATTTATTTATATTTCTCACTGCAGGCATATATCCCTTATTTTTCAACGTTTTGCAGATAACCCAACTTCATCTCCAGTTCACAAAACGCACAACTCACCATCTAGCTCATCCCACTCATCACCTTCTTCTTTATATGGTCTGTCTCCTCCAACTCCTCCATCTGGTTCTGTTAATGAAGTTAATTCCGGCGCAACAGACATATCTACCTCTGGAAATCCATCTCGTGCTATGCTTCATGGTCATAAGCATACTTCACTGACGAATGGATCGGCTTGCTCACCCGATGGAATAGGACTTTCCTCTACAGTTTCGGCAACTCAGCTGAATTCTACGTGCTGCAATTCCACAGTTGGAGGTTTTGCTTCTGTGGCTCCCCACACTGGAAAACTCTTGGCAGCATTGCTGTCAGCTCTTCCTGGAGCTTGTCGTCATCCGAACTCTTCTGGGAAGATTGTTCAAGAAGAGATGGCTCGAACCCTTGCCAGTCTACTAAGGTTCGCCAAGGTAAGTTCTTCAAAATTATTTTATGTCCTATTTGAAAAATATATATACATTTTAATAGAAGTACGTACCACTGATTGATTGTGATGAGTGTGATCGTATGCTACTCATATCAACCAGTTGTGCTTGCCAGTCGGATCAAAGTGACTTCAACACCAGACTCCCGTTTCGCCCATTTGGGGCTAAATTGACTAGTGGTGTACTCAAAGGAAACTGTGTTTAAGATTTCACCCTTCGAACTGTGTACATTGCAAATCGTTAACGAATTTCAACTCTTTGAGCTGAGTCATACCGCATACACCGCTGATGAATTCAGCCCCAAATGAGCAAAATGGCCACCCGATGCATAGATCACGTTTATCTGGTTGGCAGACACTATTGGTTGATGTGAATGGTATACAAATACTCATATCAATCAGTCAGTAGTGCCTCGTTTTGTGCAGATTTGCGTGCTTTCATTCATTAATGGTATCAAGGAGATCGCATATTGTGCTCGGAACATCTTGGTTTCCAAAGGAAACTATGTTGAAATTTCACCACTTGAACTGTGTAGATTACAAACTGCTAACCAATATGCAAATTGTTAATTTGAATCATGAAGCATGCATTTGCCTTGACAATGTAAAAATCTAGTGAAAACTCATGTAATTCAGTAGAAATTATACTTCTCATCATGTCGTAATAATATTTGTCGGTGGTGTCCAGATTACGATCACAAGCTACGTTTGGATGGACAACTGCCTATCAGGAAGCCAAATTCTTACATATATACATCAGCTTTTTCGGTTATCATGATCACCAGTATGAATCACTCAGCTAATATTGAACGTAAAACATTTTATGAATTAATTATTTTTACTTTGTTTGCTTGCTTGCTTGAAAAAATCATATTCTCTTATTCATCAGGGGTAGTTGTTACACCATAAATCTATTGGTTCTTTATCATTAAGTTTTCTTATTTATTTCACTTACTGACAATTTTACTCTTATTGTAATGCCATCAACAGTGTTGTTCATTTTCTGTATGATAAAACTGTAAACAGTCTTGCCTTTTATTTTCATGCAAAACCTTATTCACTTCATTTGTCTTTTTTTAATCTATTTAGAACACCAGCGTTACAAAAGTATTCAATCGTGTTCGGTCGTGGTATTTGCAACCTGAACAAGATACAGCCTCTCCAGAGGGTGGCGTACACACTGATAGTATTGTATCAATAAGCCATTGGGCATGTGTTCGTGTACTACACGCTGTCGCTCACCATTGCCCGGATCTTCTATACGCTCACTCTTGTACCACTTTACCGCTTATTTTCATTAATAAACAAGTACATGTATGTAACTGTTTCATGTTATAACTGTTTGTTATATTCTTAGAGAAAATTCGTAATTTTTAAGCTGCTAATAACTCCCACTACTTACTTTAAATCATGATTGATAAAATTTCCTTTCAAATCGTAACCTAAGAGTTATGGAATAGCTCATTTAATTTTTTTAAATACTTTTGATTATAGCTTAATTTCAAGTCTTATTTTGGTACAAGTATGGAATTTTGAGCATTTAAAATCGGTAGCCCAACTTTTGCAGGGCGACTACTGATATTAGGTGTACGTCGATAGGGTGTCAAACCCTGGGCCATGTGCATGGTCGTTGAGAGTCCTAACCGCTGTGCCACCGACGCACAGGCAGCTGGATAGTATTCTTTTCAAGAAAAAAAACAAAACAAAAAGAAGTAACACAAGGCTGATTTTCGATGGTTTTCTTTTTTTTTAGTCGTCAATTCACCTCTAGTAAAGGGCAGTATTTAGGTCCGCTACATAGGCATCACCACCGAGACATTTGTTCTCATCCTATTCATCTGTTGACATTCACTTAATTTCAGTTAGATTAGTGTCTGTCAATCAGTAGAACGGAAGTTTGGCTTTTGCTAATCGACAGATTTAAGTGGGAATAATACATTTCTTCATATCATATCAACAGACTATTGTTAATAGACTTTTATTTTCGTATCTGGCAAAATAATCTACATTTCTGTTGATGAAAGTTTAATTTGCACATAAAATCTTTCAGGAAGAAAAATATTCCAATTATGTAAATCATCTTGCATTATTTTGGATAATTTTGTAAAGTTTCAGTGTATTGATTCTTTAAAACATTCGTAACACCTGTTGTATACTACTACTACTACTGTATCCTTTAAGTCCTAGAGGAACATAGGGCTTCAGCTGCGCACCTCCATTGCCTTCTGTTTTCTGCCAACTTTTTCACCCCGCTCCAGGTCTGTCCACATGCTTTCATCTCCTCCTCGCATGACCTCCTCCAAGTCACCCTTGGACGACCAACTCGCCGCCTCCCTTTCGGGTTCCACTCGAGGGCTTGTCTAGTGATGTCACTTGATGGTTTCCTCAGCGTATGGCCAATCCATCTCCATTTCTTTCTGCCTATTTGTTTCACAATCGGTTCCTGATTGGTTCGCTCCCAGAGATCCCTGTTGCTGATCTTTTCTGGCCATCTGATCTTGAGTATTGAGCGAAGACAGCTGTTAATGAAGGTTTGAAGTTTGTTTGAGATGCTCTTTATGACTCGCCAAGTCTCTGATCCGTATAGTAGCACTGACTTCACATTGGAGTTGAAAATCCGGATCTTATTTTTGATGCTGAGTGCTGTTGACCTCCACACAGATTTGAGAGTAATGAAAGCTTGTCTTGCTTTTCCGATTCTGGCTTTGATGTCCTCGTCAGTTCCGCCTGTAGTTGAGACGATGCTTCCCAGGTAGGTGAAGGAGGTTGTTTCTTTCAGGTTCTTCCCATTTATGCTGATTGTTTTCTGTTGCTGTTGATGTTGGCCAGGAATCTTCATCATCTCTGTTTTATCTATGTTCACGTGAAGTCCTATCTTTGATGCTTCTTCTGCCAACTTGTTACTTTTCACTTGCATATCTTCCAGTTTGTGGGAAATCAGACATATATCATCGGCGAAATCCAGATCCTCCAAGTCTTTTGTGTCAGTCCATTTTATGCCTGTTTTCTGTCGCATTATCCAATCAATTGCAATCAGGAAGATCATTGGTGATAGTAGACAGCCTTGCCTCACTCCCGTCCTCACTTCGAAGGCTTCCGTAAGTTTCCCGTTGTGGATTACTTGGCATGCAGCATTGTCGTATAACTGTTGGATGAGATGTATAATTGTCGATGGGACCCCGTAGTAGCGAAGTAGTTTCCAAATGACCTCTCGATCGACGCTGTCGAAGGCCTTTTCAAAGTCGATGAAGTTGAGATAGAGAGGTGACTGCCATTCCAAGCTTTGTTCAATGATGATCCGTAGAGTGGCGATTTGATCAATACATGATTTGTTTCTCCTGAATCCAGCCTGTTCCGGACGAAGTTTTTCATCTAGGGCTTGTTTGATTCTCTCCAGGATGATGCGACTTAGTATCTTGCTTGGAATGGACAGAAGCATAATTCCACGCCAGTTTTTACATTGACTTAAGTCTCCTTTCTTTGGAAGTTTGAATAAGTATCCGTTCTTCCAATCCTCGGGTACTTTGCCCTCTTTCCACACCTTCTCCAGCAGTGGTGTCATCAAGTCCGCTGTTGTCTCTGGGTCTATTTTCAAAGCTTCTGCTGGGATTCCATCTGGTCCTGGTGCTTTCCCAGCTTTTAGCATCTTGATTGCATTCAGGACTTCTGATTTCGTCGGGGGGTCGGTGTTCACTGGTAGTTCTGCTTCCGTTGTTGGTATTTTTGGGCGTGTTGTAGGTGGCGGACGATTTAGAAGTCTTTTGAAGTGTTCAGCCCAGTGTTTTCTTTGTTCCCCCTCTTTGGTGATTGACTTTCCATTGTCGTCCTTTATTGGCTTAATCTGTGTCGAACGTTTGCCCGAAAGGTTCCTAGTTGTTTGGTAGAGTGTGGCGAGGTCTCCTTTGCCTGCAGCTTGTTCTGCTTCGTTTGCCATGGTTTCATAATATTTTCTTTTGTCTTCCCTGGCACTCTTCTTCACTCTTTTGTTCAGTGTATTGTAGCTTGCATTCAGCTCCTGTTTTTGTTGCTCGTCAGTGCACTGGATAATCTTTTGCTTCACTGTCCTTCTCTCTTCTATTAGTTTCCAAGTGTCCGTAGTGAGCCACTGTTTGTCCTGTCTCTTTTTTCTGCCTAGAATTTCTATGCAGGTTTGGCTCCACACCGTTTTCAAGTTGTTCCAGTGCTTTTCGACGCCGACCTCTTCGCTAGTGTTGATTTGTGTCTCGGCTTTGTCCTTTATGCTTGCAATGAAGATGTCCTTTGTAGCCTGGTCCTTCAGCTTTTGAGTGTTGAACTTGGCTTGTGGTCTATCTGCAGCTCCTGATTCCCTGAAAGCTTTTAATTTGATTTGGATTGTCCCTTGTACGAGATAGTGGTCTGAGCCAACGTCTGCTCCTCTTCTTGCTTTTGTGTCCAGTAGGCTGCGCCTCCACTTCCTTGAGATTGAGATGAAGTCGATTTGGTTTTTGGTTTGCCCGTCTGGTGACACCCATGTAGCCTTGTGGATATCTTTGTGCTTGTATACACTGCCACCAATCACTAGTTCGTTGAAGGCGCAGAAGTCGGCGAAGAGTTCTTCATTTTCATTCATTTCTCCGAGAACTTCTCTACCCATGATGAGTTCCCTTTGTGTATTGTCTGGTCCCAGTTTGGCGTTCATGTCTCCCATTAGTATTTTAATGTCGCCAGCTGGAGTATTGTCCATTGTTGCCTGTAGTTGCCTGTAGAATTCTTCTTTCTTTCCGAGGTCTGCGTTGTTTGTGGGTGCATAACATTGTATGATTGACACTTTCCTTCCTTTGGAGTTGAATCTGGCGGTCATTATCCTGGACGAAATCGCCTCCCATTGTATCAGGGCTTTCGTTGCCGTTGGTGACATCATGATAGCCACGCCCTCGGTGTGCGTGTGGTTATCTTCTGGGTGACCGGAGTAGATCACTGACTCACCCGTTGACAATTTGGTGAGTCCACTCCCATTCCATCTGCTTTCACATATTCCCAGCACTTGTATTCCGTATCTTTTCATCTCGTTTGCGATCTGGGCAGCTTTCCCTGTCTCGTACATATTTCGGACGTTCCATGTCTCCACCCAGACGTTTTCTTTTGGTGCAAAGAGGTTCATTGTACTGAAGTTTCTGTAGCAATTTTGTTTACAGGGTGGGGTTGCTAGCCTCACGCCTGAGAAAGGAATGATTACATTAAGTTAAAGTTTAGAGAGAAGCGACTTTTTGGGTTGCTCTCCTCAAAATCGGAAAATAACGGACAAAACAATCAGAACAATACCAGCAAAAGGAAAACAGTTCACAGCAAAAAGCGGCAACAACATGCAATATAGTTCAGCACAGTTAACTAAAATGATATCTCAACCATAAACTCACTGTCTTGGAGCGACTTGAACATGTAAATTCAACAATATATACAATTATAGATGTGTTTATATTTAAAAATTTCAGAAATCCAAATAGTTAGTTATAGGTATTATCTGTCAATAAGATTATATCCTCGGATTTAGTGTTCGAAAGGTAATTTATTTTCTGTTCACTGCACTCATTTTAACAAAACTTTTTCCTGCATTTAGATAGTAATTATTCATTTTACAATCACTATTTTAATTTTACATTATTATAACAGGTTGAGACTGAAGTTGATAGACTGTCTTCCACTAAAACAACTAGTATGATATATCCTTCAAGTAACCATGGCGCTGACTCAACGTGTACTCGTGCTGTTCATGATGAAATCAGTCCATCTCATAATAAGGAAAAAGTCACAAATGGTGTAAATCACAATTATACATCAGCGTATCAAAAGTTATGCCAAGAATGCTGGGAAGAACTAATATCTCGCCTTCCCTCTGCTCCGTGTTCATCTGACACTATTTTGTTTTCAGCGAATGCTTTAACTCTTGGCATAAAGTCAGTTCTGCCTTTGGCTAGCGGTTTGACCAATAGCTTTCTTCGATACCCTCTTCTAGAACATTGTACACAGTTGTTGTATGATGCGTTTCTTGAGTCACAAAGTTGGTCAGTACATAGTCAGGCTGCATTAGCCATGCTTCAACTAGCTTCCCGAATGATTGGTCAACCTTTTGGCGCTGCATGTTCTAATAATGCCCTAAGCAAACGCAGCAAGTGTAATAGTCGTCCCTGTCCAAAAGTTGCTTCTGAAATATCACCCGGAACTACTGAGAATCCAGATTCAGGACGATCTGTCAACGAGACACTTGATGCCGATGGAAAGCAGTGCCGACATGCTGATAAGTGTATAACAGCAGATGCTGACTCAAATGCAATTGAAGTGCAAGAGATTCTGGATAAAAAAACTCTTGATTCGAACCAGAATAAGACAGTGAATGATGATGACGATGATGATGATGATGATGAGTATACTACCGATGATGACGACGATGAGGATGATGATGATGAAGAGGAGGAGGAGGAGGAAGTGGATGAAGACGAGATAATTGTGGTCAACGAAGAATCTGTAGTTGATGTGTGGCCAGTCTTAGTTCAGCTAGCTGCTACTGCCCTAAATAAATGCAACCAATGGCCTGGAAAAGTAAGTACTTGCAAACACTTTTTGGTTACCATCCAATTTTAGCGATGAAATACTGTGCACTTAAAAATTCACGATTTTTTTTCTCCATTAAAGGCGGATTTAACACAGGTAGTTATCTGGATTAAGGGAAGTGACACTACGTCAATTTTCATTCAATACTGAAAATGATGTAATGTTGTAGACCTCGAAGCATAAAGACTAAGTGTGCATCGATATCTTGAATAATTCACTTTCCAAATATTGTAAGCTTTTCTTCAAGAAGCTAAAAAGAGAATATTGAATGTAACTGATTAATACTTCATATCTTCCAATGCTTGAATCTTCTTGCTCGTCAGACCTTTCTCTTCTTTATTATTAACGCACGAACTCACACTATCGTTAGAGGGTCCTGTGATGGCAAACACAGCGGTAATTGAAAACAGAATGGTTTCTGTGACAAAATTATGTGAAGTAGTAATAAAATATAGGAAACTTGCATTGAAACTTCAACTTGCAAAGGTTATTCATATTCTACTTCTTTTGTGTTCATCAAGTACTTTCTATATTGTTTTATAATAATCTTCATCTCTGCTCCTGGAAGCCTAATCCATTCCCTTGTGTTTCACGATTCTTCCAGAGCACGTCACCAATATGCTACTTACAAATTCTTGTCAGTAGCACACGTCACAAACATATTTCTCATATGTCTAGATGTGTAACAGATAGTACTAAACAGAGATGCGGAGAAGTAAGAAAATAATTAGGGTCATAATGTGTTACATAACTGAAGAAAGAAAGAAAAAACAAATATAAATAGATTATTGCAATCAAGCTAAAGATTAACTCTGCATACTCTTGAAGCATTCCTATTAATCCTGATAAAAAAATGATCTGTCTGTTTTCGACATGGAACTCTGCATCGATGTGCACCATTTCGTGTTGCCAGACTCCCTCCATGTAGCATACAAAGCAAGAGAAGAAAGTAGAAGAAATGCATAATAAAGACAGTAGACAGGGATATGAGACAAAAGGAATAGTTAAAACGAAGAACAATATAGTTTCATTGGAAATCATAGGTCACAAGGAGTGGATGCATCTGCGCTATGCATTGAGAACGATTTTGAGCCGGCCGTATCACCGATTGTTTCCAGTCACTGGCTTTTACCGTCCCGAGGACCCCAACTAGGAAGTCTGCACTTTCCGGCGTAACTGGCTTAAACTAACTGTTGTGGATTTGATTGACTAGTGCCATGTTTTGGTTTGAGCGTTGCCAGCTCTTTTCTAGCCTGATCTACATTCTCCAAATCTTGGATCCAGTGGTCACCTAGACTCCAACTACGCAATACGCAGTTTCTAATCTGTCTCAAACCAAGAATCACTATTCTTAAGAATTGGTAGCGCGTCTTGATTTCGTCATCCTTTTTTAGTGTCGTATTCAACAAGCAGTAGAATGATAAACAAGTCGATGTTAAAAGGGGGCAGTTTCTATAGCTTTTTTCATAGGTATAATTGCTTGTATTTTTATTGAATTACTGCTAGTCAGTCTTTCCTTATGTGACGTCAAATGCTTGCGAAATACTGTGTGCATTTATATCTGTCCTTCGTTTATTTCTAATACCGAAAGTGTTAAAACCAAAGTACGCAATACACAATAAATGGCATAGAGATTCTTTTAAAAATTTATTGTGTAGCCTAAACAATATATTTATTCAAATTTCAAAACCTTGTTCGTCGTACTGTGCTAGGTGCATTTACTCAGAACAGCCAGGGCATTAGCAGAATTCGCTTTGGAACAGCGGAGTGTTACAAAAGAACCAGGGAATAAGGAGGTTATTCATCAGGTGAGTTAAAATTAAATTTGCCTTTAGTAGATGTTTCTTCGCATTTGAGTAATTAAGGATTTTAATAGTACAGGTTATAATACCTCTGATTCAATAGCAAGGTATTTTTTTACATCTCATTTCACTGTATGTTGTATGTATCCTGTGATCTTATATGACACATACTTTTCACATACTAAACATGATACGAATACTAACAGTTATTTCCTTGAGTTTGACACTGTAACTAAATGTTCTATTGAGGCACTATTAATATTACTGTAGAAATTCCAATATAATCTAGCTGAATTACAAATTCATTTAATGTATTAAAAATAGCATTCTTCGGTAATGAGAACTCTTCTTATTTCAATTGTGAGTGTTACATGAACTGAAATCTCAGGCCACTGAATCAATTCACTTTCTTGGATCTTATCACTGTATGCTTACCAAAACCAACTGTTTTGCATCACAAGTTGCCACGTCATAGATCGATTACCTTTGTGTTTCTTTTGAGCAATATTAGAACTAACAAGGGGTAATCAGCCTGAAGTCACATGAACTACATTTGTAATACATATGAGTCTCTGAATCAAGTACTGCACTATGACATCATTTATTGAATGTCACTTGTTAGCTTGTTTATATATATATGCTACATGACCTTGTGATTACACATCTATTTCATTATAACGAAAATTTCGATTCAGACATTTATTTAGAAGACAAAATAAATTTTGAGCAACGAATATTCCATTTCATGCGTCGGTGGCATAGCGGTTAGGACGCTTGCGGGCCATGCCCATGGTCCGCGGTTCGATCGCCGACCACCGACGCACTCCTTTACCTCGTTAAGCCAGAAATAATGCTGGTAAGGAGGAAAGCTTGGGCATGAGGCTAGCAACCCCATCTTGTAAAATAAACACTTCTACATAAACTTCAAGCTACTAGCTTGAAGCCCTATGTTCCATTGGGGAACGTGAAGGAAGAAAATTTTCCATTTCGATAACTTCCTATTCCTACTCTACAGTGTTATGCGCATATAATATTTAGGAATAATCGTTATTAACAGTATTATTTATTATCTTCATTGGATGCATGAAGTTCTAATAGATAGAGTTATTCACCAGTAATTTACATAACTAGCGTAAACAATCTTCAGAGTGTCCTCAAGTAACAAGCTTAAGGAGAAACTGAGAGAGTGGACTTCTCTATCTAATTTCCCTAGTAATTTTGAATAATAAGTTGTAGATGGTCAGCCTAAGCGAAAACCTTCACCATCATACTGTGATAATATTCACGGGTAAATACAATCAGTTGTTAATATAGAATTACTTTATATAACAATTAAACCGGAGATTATCATCAAATGCTAACACCTATTCTAGGAGTAGCTGAATTTGCACATATACTTACCTTATTAATATATGTGTAAAACTTAGGCACTGTCATTCCGCATTAGTTTGTTTATTAAATATATCACACAGTGAAACAGTACCTTCCTCCGCATACATCTCAGCTTCTTCACAGATGTGCTATGATACAGAAAAATTTGATTTTGATTTTCTAAACACCTTAAGACTATATTACGTAGTCTTATGGCGATTCAGTCAAACTTGGCATACAATTTGTGACAGAACATTTGAACACTAAAGCTCCGGGTATTTAAAGAAAAACTTTATTGCGAAGTGAACAGATTTATTTGGAAGTAACTGATTGAGTTTTCTGTGTAACAATCGTTCGATGTAAATTATAACTTGAAAAGTTGCTCTCATTTCTAAGTACGTGTGCTTCCTTCCAGTGTCATGGTATATATTGTTTGTGTATTATGAAGTAGGTCAATTAAAGCATTACTCTACATACAGTATTCTATTTTTGCTGACACCTTTTCAGATGTTATGTGCTCTTTACCGTGAAACTCGGCCTAAACGAGCTGCAAGTCTTGGATTGGGTTACCAAGCTGAAGCATTTTTGACCTTTGCATCTTTCAGTGAAGCCTGTGGTCGTAATGCCATAACAGATAACCCGATACTCCAGTTTGTTAAAGGAGGTCAAAGCGATGGCGTGACTACGGATTGCTTTCCCGAAATTGTTGATAATCTTACGGACCTATTTGTGCTTATCATCCCACAATGGTCGAAACGTGTTAAGAATTCTACACAGATTAAGAATTTGGAGGTTCGTTATAGGATTAATTTCTTTTATCTAGCTTATAAACTTTTTAACAGATGTTTTTTTTAAGTTCCTAGAGAAATTGCGTTTTTTAAGACAATCTTACAGATGTTGATTATGCTCTCTGAAAAGTATGGTCAACTGAATAAATTCGTTTACCGTTAGGTTTAAGTGTTTAAATACAATTAATTCACAAGTCGAAATTTTGTTGTCGAATGATCCTTAACTCGAAAGTGTGGGAGACAAGATTGATTATCCCAATAACTAAACGATATATATTGTCTGGAACGAATATTCTTCAACGCTCCACCATGTCAGTGGGTTCATTAGCTTAATGTTTAGACTAAAAGCAGTTTCATCGCATTATAAGTTATTTACACTTAAGAAAATCTAAGGGTTAAGTCATATTCCCAGCGGTTAGGTGTGTAACAGCAGTTTCAGCTTCCGGCGAACGACCAGATGTCTTGTCTTGAGCAGGTGTACTCCTGTGTTCAAATTCAATCATACAGCTGTCTGCGTTCTGCATCTCGTGTTCAGTCGTATAATACAGCTAGTAATTAATGGGTTTACCTTAGTGTTAAGTTAGGAGACAAAGCTAATCGGTGCGATCGCGAAGCCGTATCGGTCAAGGTGCCAAAGAGATGAGTTCGGCATGCCATCCTAGGTGAGAACCACTTGTTGGAACAGAATTGGATAGAGATGATCAGATCAAAACAGAACATCGATCTGTGAAGTGTTCGCCTTGTGCTTTGAGTCCCCTGTCTGTGTGTAGGTTGCTTGACTGGGGATCCCTAAATTTTAAGAAGCATTTGTTGGAGACTGATGGTGTCATGTTTCAAAAATCGTTCTCAATGGCAGTCCTGTTTTGTCTTCCAGATTTATGAATCCCTCATTATTCTCAGCTCTATGTTTACATTCCCTGTAGTTTTTATTCCATTCGTTTTTTCCTTTGCTCACTTTTTTCGGCCTGAATTAATGCGCTAAGTCCTACGTCAGCAATTTGGTCGACTTCAGATTAATTATTATGCACTAACTTTGCTTTGCCACTGTCAAAAGTTTGAATGTATATCACACTATGTTTTAACACATGATTAATGAAAATGAACACTGTTTAAGTTGTGTAGGTGTTTCATCCCCTCACTTTGGATTAACCGAGTTGGAGTATCAGTGTATGACTAGGAAGTGTTAATTACATCAAGTAATCTTTATTACTATTTCTTATTTTCCTGGGTTTTGTGTGGAACTTGGGGTTTCAACAGCACATCTCCATTTTTCCCCGTCCTCTTCAGGTAGCCCCCACGATTCCCCATAAGGTTCAATCTTATAAGTAATCATTATAAACAGTTGAAATGGGTTTAGAAACCACCGGCATGTAAGTTGCCGCATTATTTGAAAAAGAGAAAAAACTAGTTTCTCGTTGGTCAATTTTAAATATATATCAGGCAATGAAACTGTTAACAATCACCTTAGGAGGACATTCTTACTGGAGTAGTAGAATTCAATGAGAAAAATTGCTCCAAAGCAGTTCAGTTTTTGGAATGTCTCTCCAGGAAACCTATTATTATTGTCCTGCTTACATTCCTTGATTTCTAAACAGCCTACAATTGCAATTTAAACTGGAATGCATAGGTTTCGCATGGATTGATTGTCTCTTCCATGAAATGCATCCTTTGTATTAGTCTGAACACCTGTTGTTTTTCTTTTTTAGAACTTAAAGGTAAACGCCAAACTAGGCGAAGGCGATCTGGAGCTGGCGATAAGAGCTATTGGAATTATGTGGCCCTTTAACATTATGAAGGAACAATGTAAGTTATTCACAATGCATATTGCTAAAATTTTGCTTTCTATTGAATTACTGGAATCATATTGAAAGTTCTTACAAACAGTTAACACATTGTACTCTGCGAAAGGCGTGTATTTGTCTGTGATATGTATCATTTAAAGAATAGTGTATAACCTTTTTATACTTTTACCGCATCTTATTTCAGTACCACGTTTCGCTGAAACAATGTGTTTTTTGAATATCGTTATGACGCAAGGTGGGAAGAATGCTCAGGTTGCCTGTCTAGCCACTGCCATAGCAATTTTCGCGAAGTAAGCGTCTCACCTTTTCAAAACCACTTTTTAAATATATATATATATATATATATATATATATATACATCTTCACCTATCTCTTATTGTGTTCATAGGCTTAGTCCTGAAGAAAGTGCACAGATAGTTGAATCTACTGGAAAATCGGCTTCCAAATCCTTCTCTGACCTAGGATTAAAAGAATTGCTTGGTAAGGTGAAAAGATCAGCGGAAAATCAAAAATCCCAACTACTAAGGGAACATTCCCTTGGGACGGTTGCCGGAATTACTAGACATCCAAGTAAGCCACTTATTTTTCTTCGTGAAACATTTATTCGTCATAACTAAACAGTAATTTAGTTAGGGTTGATGGAAAACAACACTTCCAGTGGTACATCATTGATTTTAATACTGGGTAGACTATATGTGCAGTTTACTTTTATTAGTGAAGGATTCACTGTTTTCAATACATTTTTCTCAAGGTCCACTGAAAGATGCTGCAGTGAATCTCCTCAAGACAACTAAGGATCTTTTAATTGCAACCCAGTAATTTTGTCTGCAGAAAGATAATGTTATTGTATGGTTGATATGCTTTTACATGGTACTTTAATAGTGTTCACTTATTATACTTTTAATTAAACCAAGTATGTATATAAAAACTGCTGTTTGCAAGTGTTCACTTTCAGCGATGCGATTTAAATGAAATTATAATTTTTAAAAATCGCATTGTATACTGTCGTTTGGTTTTTGGAGCCAATTACGTGTTACTGCACTAATGTTCACGTAGAGTTTTTAACCAATTTTCACCTTTGATTTCACGTTATCTTTTGACTTTTACCTTCTAGGCTTCCTTAATTTATGCCGTGAATCAACTCGTCAAATTTTGCAATCATATTCCAACGATAGTATTCAAACGTTACGTGAATGGGCTTCCGAACTGATTAAAACAGTTTAACATTTATTATGAGTGTATGACTTTCTTTGTATGTTAATGGTGCTATCTTCAAACATTACTATGATAATTTAATGAAAATAAAACTGATAATCATTTAATTAATTAATAATTTATTGGGGGTTATTTTTATCGATATACGCTTTTTATACAGGACGTTTTGATAAGTTCTATCAACATATATTTACGAAACCAAACAGATTTTATATACTCCGGTTTTTATTTTTATAACAGTCGTACATTGTGAATTATTGTGTTTGAATACCTGTTCCCTACAATCATTCTGAAATTACACCACGTAACCTCCAGCTGACCATTCGGCTGCCTATAAGCGACAAGAAAAAAAAGTACTTGATTTACGAAAGATCTGGGAAGTCACCTGGATATCATTACAAAAAAATAAAAAGGCGTAGAGTTATGTGTATACTGTCTCAAACGCATTTGCAGAAAATGAATGAAATATTTTTGTTTACACGTGGTGTTTGAAGAAAATTGTGTTCACTGAAACGCTGACCTCAGAAATTGAAACCACACTTCTGACTAAAATGAAATAAGCAACACTGTGTTGAGACATGCTTTGAGCAATGCGATAGAATTGAGTCCTAAGGCGGAAAAATCACTGCTCGGTTGGTTCCCAGTGGATCGCCGTATGTCTACTGTCCATCTGAACGGATCTGTCAAAAGTAAAGATCCACTAATGTCGTCTCATAATTTCCGATTACGCCTCAACCGACTGCATTTCGGACGAAATAAAGGCTGACCACTATAAAAAACTGTATGGTTTGCTGCAAAAAGCAAAACGCTCAGATACAACTGTTTAAGCAGGCGCTTTTAATGCTCAAGTAGGAGAAGGGTATGCCACACCGAGAAGTATGCTAGTAGTATCTACGGTGTCCCTTGCAGACGAACCGGCAGTGACGACCTTTTTCTACAGTTCCGTTCAGATAATCGTCTATTACCGGTCAGTATCAACACACAAAACGGGAGGCATGCCCAACCTGCCGATCTCGATTGTCAAATCATCAATGGACCCACAAAGTGGTAGGCTACTGTTGGCAAGGATCAATAGAAGACTACCGCTTTTACCGGAACACTTGCGTAGGCTCTGCCCACTCCCTGGTCTCTGCTGATTTATGCTTACAATTGCGAAGGATCATGAAAAAGCATTGAAGCCTTTACGGCCGCAACTTGATCACAACACTATTTAGGGGAGATCCCTCTTTAAGGAAGAAATAGAAACGAGTATCTGTGGTCGACAGCAAGACTCTTCCTGAGGAAGCCTAGCACATCATACAGTTAGCTGTAGACACAGCTGTAAAGGCTGTTAATCACCTAAGACCAAAACCCAATGTATTACTACTACCTCGTCCGAACCAGCTGACGCAGAAAGACTGATCCCGAAGAGCTCCGAACATGATGAGGAGCGAAAGCTGCTCAAACACGAACTAGCAAGAAGTCTTTGTAACGACTGTGAAAGGTGGTGGGCGACATAAGCGAAAGAGATGCAAAAGGCATCGGCTATAGGTAACACCAGTCAACTATTTAGGCTTATCGGAGAAACAGGTGGTAAAAGGCAAATGACAGGAGCGCTGATCGGTGAGAGAAATGGCGCCATAATTACCCCTCAGGATAGACGATAGGAACGTTGGAAGGAACACTTTTAGGAGCAATTTAACTGGTCTACAGCCATCCTCAACTTACCCAGCAACGAATACCTCCCTGAATGGGACATAAACACAGTTACTCCGTCTTAACTGAGGTTACAAAAGCTGTCACTAATCTGTGCAACAGTTCATCCTGTCCTGCTTTGTGGCTGTGAGACATGGTCTGTGAAAGTGGCAGACACGAGACTAGCTATCTTTGATCATAGGTGTCTGAGATTTATTCATCGTGTTAAGTGGTATTATATGGTAATATTGAAATTAGGCGTCCAGTGCTAGGAAAAGACGAAGAGTCAATTGATGAGGTTATGAAACTACATAGATTGAGATGGTTAAGACATGTGATACGCATGTCTGGCCATGTTACGTTAACCGACATAGGATCAGGTTGGGAAACAGCTAGTGGTGGTCAAACAAGAACCTGGCATAAATCCTTCGACAGTTAGAGCCATGTAGGGAGGTTTATGCTTCTTAGTTGGGGTTCCTGGAATTCTAAGAAACAATGACTGGTGATATGACCCAAATTTGTTCTCAGTGGCACAGATGCACTGATTCCCTGTGATCTACAAAGTTCATGTATGGATCATGTGCTCACACTTCTTTAGTTGTTATAACACCACCACACGTATTGCAGGCCAACAATCGTTGTGTTTCTCGATATTAAGACTACCTTCGATTCGTTGGACAGAACTGTGCTCTGGAACTGTCTGTTAGAGAGGGTTGTATCTGAGATGTTTGTGAACATCTTGAAAGCCCTATACAGAAACACCTCAGGTAGAGTGAGGGGATAAAACCAACTGTCATCACTGTTCTCAACCAACAATGGGGTTAGATAGGGTTCCCCAATCTCTCCATTTCTCTTTAACTTTGCCATCGGTGGCATTCTGGAGTCAGCTCTGAAGGATGTGCGTGAAGGGGGTGTAGATCTGATCCCTGGAGATAGACTTTTCGACCTGGAGTATGCAGACGATATTGCCTTACTGTGTGGTAGGATGCAGGCTTCCCAAATCACACTTAATCAGTTGGTGATCAGTGTCTGTAAGTATGGGATGCGGTTTGCGCCGTTGAAGTGCAAAGTACCGTTACAAGATTTTCAGGAGCCTGTACCTGCACTCACTCTTGCAGGTGAGCCGCTCGACGTTGTGGATAAGTTTGTGTATGTGGGTAGTTGTGTGAGTGCTGGCGGAGGGGTGACGGATGAGATTTCCAACCGTGTCATGAAAGGTAGGGTGAGAAACGTTCAGTTGAATCACCTCTGGCGCCGTCGCGACGTTAGCCTGGCTGTCTAAGGTCGAGTACACAATGCTTCGGTGCGGCTGTCTTGCTCTACGCCTGTGAAACCTGGCTTCTCTGAGTTGAAGATGTACGGCAACTCTGTGTATTCGGCCATCATTGTCTCCGCAGGATTTCTTGTGTTCAATGAGATCACTGTTTGGGCAATTCTTAGGTCCGGTGGAGTGTGTTTGGTCACAGTGTAGATCACTGTTTGTTGAGTGTTGTCATCTGGAAATATGGCTTCGGTGGCTTGTATATGTGTTGCAAACGTCATCCCAGAGGCTCCCGTACCGGTTTCTGGTCTGTGGTCCTTGAAAGGGATGGAAAAGGAGGAGAGGTGGTCAGTCCATGACGTGGCGTTGTGGGATGAAGGATGTTTGTGCTAGATTAGCCTCGGTTGTTGCGTCACGACTCCTTGGTTGGCGTCCGACAGATAGGTGGAAACGTTATCGGATATGGCCGAGAATCGTAACCAATGGTGAACGTGTTGCAATTTCCCTCTCTTTTCCCTTCCCGACGATAATTGACTAATGATGTTTGAACTTGTTAAATGTGACTGTTTTCCTTCCATTATCCATTCTCTACTTATATATTTACTTTTAGTCTATATTGTTTTATTGTTTTTGTGTGTCGCATCTTCTTGGTACCATATTGTACCAAGTTTTTTTGTGTTCAAATAAATAATTTATGTTTTTGTGTTGCTTATGAAGTGTGATAACTTGAAGTGCTGCACATGTGTGAAAAATTCTGAGTTTAAACTATGTCTTGTTGTGATAAAAAATGAGGTCTCAGTTTGTGTAGAGGAAATATCAGGGAACGCTTATTGTTCAAGATTTATATTTCCGATTCTCAAACTAGTAAGTACCACACCAGATATCTTTTTAAACGCTACACGAAAAAATAAACTGGATTTGAAATAGATAGTTGTGTCATGCTGCTTCTTTTTAGCTCAATCTGAATGAATAATCCTTCTGTGAGTGTTTGGCATAGACTTCGGCTGGCTGACTTTTTACCTTCAATGTCTTCAGAAGATATCTGAATTAGTTTAATGGTTGACATTTTGTTTGAAAGCAGTTAGTGTGGTGATTTAATCACCGCCAGTAGTGATTTGCGACTCGTAAAATTCGGGTAATATTGCTGCATTCCCTAATCACTGCTACACTCAGTACCACTCACCACTAACTAGATCTAATAACTCGATATGATATTTTCACTAAAATTATAGCCAGAATCACTCAATAATCAAACATAAACGATATCATAATGAAAGCACAGCCGCTTCAACTTGAGAAAAGTAAGTATGAATCAGGTGTGGTACAACCCTAATAAAAAAAACAAAATAATGAAAAATTTAGGTACTGGCCAATAATGGAAATATGCACGTTACTTTATACTTTTGTTATTAAGCATTTCTCTTCATTTGATACTGAATTGACTTAGGTTTGATAAGACTCTTAGCTAGTCCCTAGTTATTATCTACTTTTTGAACCCCCCGTAACTGCAAAACATTTCTTCATCTGCTAGAGGTTTTTGTGATGTATATAGTAATAAGACGACTGAACTGGGATCGCTAAGCGGAGCTGTTTTTTCGGTCTGTGTGCCCGAGTTCTCACCACATGGTCATGTGTTCGAACCCTGTCATACCTACCGAGGTCTGAGCAGCTAGATAGTACCACTGTCACTCATTGCCAACCATGTGTAAGTGCAAATGATGTCACTAAATCCAGCCAGTAGGTTGCGCATAGTGGGCTGCCTTAAAAATTTAACTTTTCTGTTTGCAAGTGCCACACAATACTACTTGATGTGACAGAGATCAAGGAAGATAGTTGGAAAGTCCTTGCTTTACTAATAATGTTACTTTGTCGTCAAAATATTTAACTTAAGAAAAATACAGGTGAAAAACACTTTCATAATGACTTAAGCTGACTGACTCAGTTCCAAAACGTAAGTGCACCAGTTCCAACTGCTACACTTTATATACTAAACAGAGGCAGAGAAATAGATTCAAGCGGAATTTAATAAGCAGAAATATGCGAGGGAAAGAACAGCGAAATTGAAAAAAATGACAGTTTAGTTTATATGTGAGACCACGATGGGTAGATGCATCTTTGCCAATGAGAAAGATTTTGAGCCATATCACCAGTAGTTTTCAGGTTCCAAGGACTAGAACCAAGCAGTCTACACTTACTCATATGGCTGGCCTAAACCAACTGTCAAGGACTTTATGGACTGATGACAGCTTTTTGTTAGTCTGTCGTCAACTCTTTTGCAACGTAATCCCAAGTTAGTTACCATTACTAGTCGAGGAAGGTGTGTCCTAGCTATCTCAGTCAATCTATCCTCATAAACACATATACTAACTTCCTTTCGTTACCCAGCACTCTGTGTCTAGTCTCTCTATTACCCACCACCATATGAACATGTGGTCAGAGACAACTGCTTTTCGCATATCTTTCACTCTTAATGACTGTGTCTCACAACCACAAAGGAGTACAGAGCAAACTGCTGTGCATTACACACGTTGGGCGGCTAGCTGGATATCAAATCCACATTATAGATGACGCCTGATGATTTAAACATGAAAAATGAAAGGTTTTCGGAGAATAATACAAACCTAAAACCACTATTCCATATTCAAAGTTAATATGCTTACCTGAGGTGACTCTATAAATGAAAGCCAATCTGAAGCGTATGTAGGAAGTAAACCCATAGTGTGACACTTATACATAGCAAGAGCCAGTATGACAAGGTTACCAAGAACATATACACAACATTGTATTGTAGCCTGACTCCCTTCTATAAGGTTAAATGCTGTTCACAGGAAAATTGAGAAAAAAGAATCACTTATGGGGATTTATAAAAGTTAATAAAAAGATATGCACCTTAATATGCAACGGCTTTTCATTGACAAAAACTTTTGCAGTGCTAGATAAAACATTTGACAACTGATTGTTTCCTAGTCATGATTTTCTTTTCATTGATCCAACTGAAACCACCAAGAACTTGATGGTGAAGTTAAGATCGTTACTTGGAATGAGGAGAGCAGCCAGTTCTTAACAAACCTTGATGAAAAAAGTGAAAGACCTCACTTTATAATGTCAAACATTTAGTTTTGTACTCTCCTTTTCCTCTTTTGTTTCCCACCTTTTATCACTTATTTTAGTCATGGAAATGTGTGTAATATAATAATGTTAGCACCTATCCTGCTTTACAATAGAATACGAAGCAAACTGAATTCTTATGGTCATTCTTTCAATGGACACTCAGATGCCAAAGAAACAGCGTGTGAGTTTAAGATATATGTTGGAGATTCCTACGTTTACATATTAATTTATCACTTTATATTCAATCCTTTCTTAATCATACTTAGATTCTATCGCAACTATTGACAGACTCACCACACATATATTGGTATTTTACTATACAGTTGTACTTTATCAAAATGCCCAAACCCTACACAGTATAATGAAGATCTCTAAGTACAACTAATGCTTAGCCCAGGTGTGTTGACACTATGCTTGAGATCATATTAACTTGTCCTTTTGAAATGCATTATTAGTAACACTTGTCACTCAAACTGTTTCTGCTCAACTTGCAATTACCGTAACTTAGTAGGTTGAAAGGGTCTTCATGAGTAATTTCAATGTATCCACACTCTATTCAGCTTTTAGATATAACAGTGGGATTGTCTTCCCTTATGTTCAACAAGTTACGGATAAAATACATTTGGCTGCAGAGCATCTCACATTTGTTGGTCTCCTTAGGAACCATCAGAGTACCATCTCGTTAATTGATTACATTTAATATGTGCTAATCTACTAATCTTTCCTCTGATAAACATTATCCTTTCACGATATATACAGGCTCAAACATTTGTTCCGCATAAAATATTCTTCCTTTATATCATAAATACATACTGAAGGCTGTAAGCAGTACCCATCTGACCACACTAAGTTCAAATACTCCCAGAAACTTCCTTAAGGAGGCAATGTACACGCCACTGAACACCGTGAAATGAGTAAATGCATATTCCAATTTATTTATAACAGTGACCACTCTCACTATTCGGTCAGGCATGTGGCTAATTCTAAGAGTTGTTGCTCATCGAATTATTATAGAAAATCATTTTCAAACACAGAGTTGCCTAAAAAAACCATACATCTAGATGGGACTTACCCACTGTCTGACCACATAATGAGTCCTACAAACTATATATTGACATTGACTATATACATAATATGAACAAAAAGAGTGCGGCTACCCAAATATAAAAAACATGCTTACTGTTCTGAGCAGAAAATAAGGCTTGTAAAGGACGTAAAAACAGCATAATAACGGACATCAGAGGGAATATCGAAATAGAACTCCCTGAAATCCACATGATAAAAAGGTTCATTGGAACTTGGCGGAACGGCCCTAATGCAATGTTCCAACTTCTTTGACGCATAAGATGGGGGTCTGAGTCACGAACTGCAGTAGCCGGAAATGAACGATCAACATAACCAGGAGGATGTTTCAATTCCGGAGCACTATTGGGAATTGGAGCCGCAGTACGTGGTCTGTACATAGATATAATTAGATGGGAAAGCATACCTGGAATTGAATTCCAAAGCCCATTTTCTGGATAAAAAGTTGTAAACACTATTTTCATCGAAAGATATACACGTCGTCATCTTTTAAAATCGCGGATGACAAGGTTCAGTTGAGTCTTTCTAAACACAATTGATTTCTTTCACGAAATATTCTGAAAGAGAATATCATGATAAAAGAACTGGTAACTTTATAACATATTTGTATCCATAGGCAGTATGTATGGTATGAAATTACACATTTCAGATTTATCAAGCCATTTGTGTTATTACTTTAGAGTTAAGCCGCAAGAGGAATGACAAACATGTCGGAAAGCTTTAAGAATGGATAACGGTGGTAGTACCCGTCGTAAACGGCCCACTTTGACCGTTACAATAACACAGTTATCCTGGCGAGGTTAAACTACAGAAGACAACTACAACGAGCCAAACAATCACCTCAAATAACTAATCAGAACTATTATGAGTATAAAACTTTGGCACTGTGGTAGAGTATAACTCCATTATGGACAAGATATTTATTTTGATAAATCAGTGATCAGAACTATATTTCTGATGTAGATGTAGAACTTGGCCACTATGGTAGGATGCAATTCTTTTTCAGATATGTTTATTTTTAAATATTACATAGCACTGGAGTATTAATTACTGGATGACGTTTCAAGTACACTTTATTGTTCATTATCATATCCTAATAAACCGAAGCTTCGGTGTTCCACATGGATGTGTGGTCGTGAAAAATAATTACTATGGTCGCCATTCATCAATTTTGATAGTTCGGAATCAGAATTAGAGAAGAGTCAGGTGAAGTCTGGTAGAGAACTATAGGTTGTTTTACGGTGACACAAATAAACTGATCCCAGCGTTTTTTAATCTGATAACGAGATGTCTCATACGATGGCAACCCGAAACATACATGAGACCGTTTGTCAAAAATCTGTTGTGTTACCAGATAAATAAACCTGTTGAACAGACCAATACATAATAAAATTCAATAAGTATATTTTTAGCAGGAATATGCATAGCCCTACATGCTACAAAGCAGCTCACTGCGCTGTGATTGAAACTAATGATATGCATCATCTCAGACACCACTAAATTACTATTAAAAATCAAGATGAGTATATCAGAGCACTGATGATTGGAAAATGTGACTATTTTGATTCTTTGTCGAAATGTGTGTAAACAATGCCATACAAATTCTGTATTAATATACACGCACTGTGACGCATACATAGTGCGACACTACTACCGGCATAATAACACTTATGTGAAATTTAAAAAAAAACCGTATGAAAATCAGTTACCGGAATGTAGCGCCAATTGCAAATTTACCACCAATACGTCAGATAGTATTGAACAGCGTATCAGCCAACATAACACAATTCTATTCAAGATTATTGACAGAAACATTCACCGAGCGAAATTTCAGCCAACATGCCAGATAAGTCCAGCCCAGAATAACACCAACAAAGGCATAATAGTATTTATATAACCTATGTCAACACATAATGTACTACTGTGAACAATAAGAAGCATAAAAAGTTAGAAAACTTAAGAGGTCAGACTTCGACTAGACATCCTTTTCTAATTTTATCGGTTGAATAAAAACAGAGGGATTATCTCAAGATTGTCAAGTGAAATTCATAACTGCAGACTTATAAGCTTTTTTTTCAGAGTAACAAATGATGATCAAAGGTTGTCGTAATGTCTGACGATAATGTCATATCTGTTAGAGGAGTTGCGTCTTTTCTTCGAATGAGGCCTAGGAAAGGTTGTGAATAGGACTGATATCATAGTGTCTAGTGAAACACACCGGAATCGGGTGCAAGCCTTTGCTTGTTTAAGCCAGTCGGTGGCACAGTGGTTAGGACTCTCGCCGATCATGCACATAGTCCACGCCGACGCACACCTGATATCTATATTCGGCCTACTTCATTTGGGCTACCGATATCCACGCTGAAAATTCCATAATTGTACCAAAATATGGTGTGGAATCAAGCTGTAATAAAAAATAAAAATAAAGAATTATGGTAGATCATCCGATATGTAGAAATGTGGGGTTTGTTTATTTACATGTTCTACAGTAAAGCACAAAACACTGCTCAAAATTACTAGCCTCAAAAAATCTCTTCCGAGCAGTTTGACCATAACTCTGTTTCGAATTACTATCTGTTCTTTGACTTATATCGGATAAGCACATTTCAGATGAAGAATATAAAATATGTACTGCTGCATCCTCTCAATATTCGAGCATGAAGCCTCAATTTTCTCCGTTATTAAAGGTTTGTTGGTGATTAGCTGGCACCGAAATCTGTGGAATAGACACGATAATTTTCCTGTAAGTATGGAAGTCGAGTGTTAAATACCACAAACGCATCGGTGACTTGCCCGCACTTCTATCCATTTTTGGTAGCGCAGTGTAGCGATAATTAGTGTGGCAGGTAGACGTCTTAGGTATTAACTATTTTCACCACACGTTGCCAGCAGTTGAACTACAACCGCCTCCAGTTTTCTCTAAATCTTGAAAATAACAGCTCGAGACCACTACTTCCACACCTTAAGAATCAAATCCGAATATGAATGAACCGATTTATGATTGAACATTTAATAAAAATTTATTTTCATATAAACATAAATTTACATGAAACTGCATGCCATTTTTACAGGCACAATCAAGTTTGTTATAATGTCAAATCTTAAATTGTCTACAAGTTAATAATGTTTCAACTGTTAAATATTTGATACATATATATAATTACACTCATTGTCTGAACCAGTCCGTATAGTTATTGAATTGTACAGTTGTCCTCCAGGTTGAGCGGGAAAATCGACTTCGTTTCGTTTTCATCCCGTGGTTGTAGGCACACGATAGCCAACCAATATTGAGGTAAGTACAACGTTTACAAGGGATTGGGAGCTGTTTTAGAAAAGTTAAAGTGCTAAGGTGAAACATTAAAGTGTAATAGATTAAGTGAGTGAAATATATCATTAATAAATACATTTATATGGAAAACAGAATGAGAAAGTAATTAATCCTTAGGCCGACAACGTTCATTTGCAATGTATAATAATACCAATATACTCCGTACTATCATGATGTCCACTTTTGGCTTTAATACAATTATTTTTCAAGCCAGTTGTTTTTATTTCATGCCTTTTCGTCTATTTGGTGCACAACCGCACCCTACAGAGAATAGGAATAGAATAAGTCGAATCAAATTCATAAAGAGTTATAAAATGTTAGGTTTAATGGAATATAATGAGGATCAAGTAAAGACGTTATTAGAAAATAAGTGAGACAAGACATTGTGAAGTGGTATTTAAAGATCTGACGATGGATAGCAAGATAATTTACAAGATGCCTCATAAATCTGTGCAGATCCCGCGTGATCGCGTCTCAACAATAGGCTGTGCGAATGGTACATATTTAAAGGTAGAAGCATTATCTGTCAAGGCGTTCATTATTATCTTTTTCAAGATGAAGATTTAAGCCCTCATAAAAATCAGAAATAACTAGAGCCTTCAATGGAGTTGAAGATTGAACGATCAATTCTTGGTTGTTTGCTCAAAACCAACTTCCCCAATTTTCGCGGAGGCATCAATACGACAGTCATCGTCTCATCGGTCGCTGTTCAGAAAGAAGTCAGGAGACAACCATCAGAAGTGATATTGTGATTTATTATTGTAATATTTGTTCACAGACCTTAGTTCAAATATTGTTTTTATATGTTGGTGTAACAATAAAGAATTCTCAAGCGGCCAATCGGTGTTTTGGTTTTCTCGTCCGTTATTACTAAGCGTTTCTGAAAAAACTTCAAGGAACAGCGTGAGCTCGAGCGTAGCAAGAGCTGGGCATTGATGGTTTACGAGACGTGACTGACAGTTTCTGATGGTAGAAACAGATCTGGCGGATTCAAACAGTTGGTGAAAGTTTGGATAGTCACAGTTCATCTTTCCTGGTGCCGGTCAAGTCCTCTTTGAACAAGCATTATCTGGAACTTTTTTGGAATTGGGTCAAGTTCAACAATGCCTGGGTCAAAGAAGGGACAAAGCGTCTTGGATGCAAACAGAAAAGTAAGTCATGGTGACTTGTCTGTTAATTGTAACGATGTGTCTGATGTTAAGCATGACATGGTTGATGTTACTGTTTCGCCGTTCAGGGATAATAGGAACATCAAACTCCCTAAGTTTGAACCACGATGTTTCGATGGAAACCCAGCTGATTATTTACAATTTGTAAAGGAGTTTGAGATCATGCTGAGTGGCTTTTCATTAACTGATGAGTTGAAGTTAATGTATTAGATGAGATATTGCACTGGAATTGCTGCAAGAGCTATACAGTGCTGTAAGTTTATGAAGCCAAAAGAGGGCTACGATGAGGCTATGAGCATATTACGTCAAAGGTTTGGAAGAACTTCAATGATTGCGGGGAAATTATTCGAGGCTGTTAAGGGTAATGGTGGTCAATTACAGGATGACTCCCAGGCACTCACTGAGTTTTTAGATAATTTGCTAATTTACAAGAATGGAATGATTTCGATGAATCGCACGAGTGACCTCAACTCGAGTTTTATACTAGAAGTAATAGCAAGACGCCTACCTACTCGACTGCAAAGGAAGTGGGTGAAGATAAGCTACCGTATGGAGGATGAGGGTATCGAGCCAAAGTTTGATGATATCCTGAATCTGGTAAAAGATAGCGTCAATCAATCTATGAGCAAGTTTGCCAGTATATTGAATTTCACCCCTAGAATAGAGCAGTCTGAGAGCAAAATGCAATCATTGATGACAAATAGACCTCAAAGAGGTGGATATCGAGAAGGCTCCATGATGTCTAGTAATGCATATAGACCTAGTGAGTGTAACAGGTTTCGTAGTACATCGTCAACAGATAAGTTGCAAGCTGCAAGAGAAACACGGTTGTGTTTTACACGTGTGCAAGAGGTGCATACAGAAGTGAACTGTAAACCAGTGAGCAAGTTCAGTGATAAGCTCAATGTAAACTCCAGGTCTGACTCCGAATTGTGTGACGATAACGGTGTGGTCAAGAAGTCTGTAG